TTGGCGAAGGGACAGTCACATCATGTACCTATCTTTCACTACTGTAACTATGCCTGCTGCTCGCGTGTCACAGTAGTAGAGCGTCTATTCCTATACCTATGTCTACTGCTCGCATGGCATAGTGGTAGAGCGTCTGTTTTAAAGCGAGTAGTTGATCCTTGAATTTAAATATAAAAATTATTTTGTTAAAAATATTCTGTTTGTTCACAGGTACTCTAAAGTTGATATCAAAAAGATGTTTATGTTCTCCAGTGTAATTTTCAAGTTTACTAAGCTAGGTTTTTGCACACACCTATAACCTTATGTAGACCATATCACATCCACATTAAAGTAACACAAACACAAAGTTTGATGGATGAATTTGTCATTTATTATACATGTATAAATGACGAAAGATAATCAAAAGATTCATGAGATAAAAGGGGAGATCATTCTTTAAAATGTGTAAATTTGTACAAAATATTAGTTTCTCCCAAGTCTAACATATAACATGAAGAAAATCCAAATAAACAATCCAGAATCTGAAAAATAACAATCAGCAAAAAAGGTGGCAGACAAAAACTGCCTTGGCAGATAAAAAACTGCCAAAATATAAACATATTAAAATATATACATATTTTAAACAGTTTTTATCCATTTACTTTTTACATTGCATATTAATTTATCAGTACAAAGGTGGAATAATGATCAGGATGGTTGGTGGGCAACACTTGGAATACCCTTCTTACTGCGATCGAATCAAAACAAAAATTAAGTGACGTAGAATCTACACTCAGTGTCTCTTCTGATTGGTCGATAAAATTACCCCTATCGATCACTCGAATATTGACACAAAATCAAAACACGGATAAAAACGGATTGATTCACCTCTTAAAAGTACCAACTCCGTAAAATCATTACATGAGTACATAAATGCTATTATTTACAATAATGCAGTTTTGAGTTTCTGATTGACAATATCTATGTGGTTTTTGGAGACCAGGTCTTCCAACAATCTATTGGAATTCCCATGGGTACCAATTGCGCCCCGTTATTAGCAGACCTATTTTAGTATTCATATGAAGCAAAATTTGCCCAAAACCTTATATGTCAAGAGAAGAAAAACACTTGCTGTGGACTTCAGCTCGACATTTAGATATATATCGACGACGACGTATTGTCAATTAACAATGGTAACTTCCATTCTTATGTCGATACGAAATATCATAGGGAGCTTGAGAAAAAAGAAACTACAGAATCTGACACATCTGTTTCATATTTTGATATTTTGAAAAAGACGTTTATGAGAATCGAACAATCAAGCTCTATAATAAACGTGAAGACTTTAACTTTACAATCGTTAACTTCACTTACTTATGCAGCAATGTACCTTCATCGCCTGCCTACGGAGTTTAGATATCTCAGTTATTTCGATATGTATAAACAATTTCTAAAACGAGGTAAGTTATTGAGAAACAAGTTGATTTAACAAGAATATTATCTATCTCGTTTAAAGTCATCATTTCAAAAATGCAATGACCCTGTCTGCAAATACAATTTATCATTGCGTCAAATGCTGACTAACGTTTTTTATACATGCACAAATTATTAGTCCATTATTTATGTACTGAACTGACTACCGTTTTTCCGTTATTTCTCGATCATGACAAGGAGCACACGGCGGGTGTGACCAGTCGACAGGGGATGCTCACTCCTCCATGACACCTGATCCCACCTGTGATGTTTTGGGGGTCCATGTTTGCTCTGCTCCTATTTTGTAATGTTTTATGGACTTTTGATCTTTAATACTATTCGTTATCTTCATATGATTAATCCTTAAGTCGCGGGTTCTAATCCACCTGTTGGACGTGGAGAGATCGTATGAACCAAGATCCTGTTTCGCAGTAGGTGCTGGAACGATAAAGATCCCTTAGTGCTCATTTTCCCTGAGTGCCAAGTGTAGGTCAAAATTTGCATCTCTTCACCGGCAAGTTGTGGCATCTACATTGAGTTGAACCTTTTCGAGAGAAACTTTAAACAGACAAACCTATGTTTACACCTTATAGGTATATTGTAGTATGACGGTGCGTGCATGTACAATACATGTAATAGATGAACAGTTTCATATAACTAAGTATCTTGATGAATAATAGTCTCCCGCGTTGCGCAGTGGTTAGAGCGTCTGCTCTAGCCTCCTGAAGTAAGGAGTTGATCCTAATGTCGCGGGTTTGAATCCCACTCTTGGACTTCGGATGAAACCGTATAAACGGAGGTCCCATTTCGAAGTAGGTGCTGGCAGCTCTCCACCGGCAAGTGTTTGCATCTACATACATGTATGAGTGAAATATTTTCGAGAGGGACGTTAAACAACATACAACAAATTAAATTAATATTAATGAATAATAATTTAACGTTAAAGTGGATATATTTATGAACAGTATGGCAAAGAAAGTGGTTGAAGTTATTTAACTCCACGATCCTCACACGGATTCGATTACATAGTGAGATGAATGTTCAACTGCGATGGTGGAGGAACCTGGTTCATCCCTAAAGATACGAGGGTTGTCCCAAAAAGTCGTAGACAGAGTAAACAGTTAAGTTTCTCTTTGCTAAATTAAATTTCTTTTCTTTTCATAGGAAAAAGTAGCATTTTATGATTATGTATGTCAAGTTTCATGATGATATCACATTTAATAAGAAAATTATGAAAAAATAAAGAAAGCATGTAAGTGTATATCGGCGCACGAAAACAAGCATAATTTACGTCTTATAACGTCATGATCTCTTTTTCTGCTTCAAACGCGTCTGTCAACATCCAATACTTTCTTAGTGAAAAACCACTCAAGACTAAGGGGTTGATTTAAATTCACTAACGTCTTTCTTGTTAGCAGATTCAAATTCAGTCGAAAGACCACCTTACATTGTAGGCAGCAGAGAATTCACGTTCTGGCCCAGAACGTTCTCCACTGTCTGCGTTTAACTAACAGTACTCTACTTCTTCCATGCAATACCTATTTTCGGTAAAGAGCAAAAACCGTCATTGAATCTCATACCTTTTAAAAACAACTATTATACATGTATTAGAATCTAATGTGTAAGGTCACTTCTGTAACTCTTTTATCCCGTCTCTGATATAAACCATATCCAAAACAATTTATTACATCTCCGTGCACCGGTTAGGTGTTTGACGACGTCATTTTCATCAAACTCAATTCCAACAACAGTTTGAAAATCATGACAACAATCGTCTGTTTCTAATGCAATTCATCTTCGAAGGGGAGATAATTTAAAATTAGTGAAAAGTTAAGCATCTTCACAAGAACCACGGGGCTATGAAAGAAAAAAAACGCGTGTGGAAACATCTTCAGGTAGTATAAATTCCATTTTGTTCAAATCATGACCCCCGGGGATAGGACAGGGCCACAATCAACGATCAAAGTTTTACATAGAAAAAATACGGAGAATCTTTTAAAAACTTCTCAGCAACAGCAAAACCCTCGTTGGGCATATTTATGTGGAGCATGTGTAGATTCAAATTTGTTGAAAAAATGACCCCCGTGGTAGGGTGGGGCCACACTGTGTGATTGAACGTTTTAAATATAAACATTTAGGAACAAAATGCCCATGAGCCTCACTGCTCACCTGAGCACTGCGGCTAGAAAAAAAAGAAAACAGTTCAGTATTGAAAATTTGATTTAATAAGTGATCCCAACCTTTCCTTTGTCATCCGCATACGGCGTTTTATATCTCCCAGTTGATTCGATATGGAAGATCAGGTTCTACGGATGAACACTTACTTAAATAAAGTAATTAAACAAGTTGATGAAGCAAGAATATCAGCAGTTTAGTTAAAGTCACCATTTTGTTAGTTCTGTTGTTCTTTTTTGGGTCGATACAATGACCTTGTCAGCAAATACAATTTATCATTTAGTCAAATGCTGTCTGACTTTTTTCATACCGAGTTGTCCACGGATATTTCCGGAGCACACGGCAGGTGTAACCGGTCGGCATGGGATGCTCACTTCACCATTGCACCTGATCCCACCTCTGATGCTTTGGAGGTCTGTGTTCGCTCCTTTCCTAATTTGTAATGTTAAATGTATTTTTGAGCTAGAATACTGTTTATTTACACATATTTCATCCGTAAAGGAGAGGGGTATGATTTGAACCAACTTAAACTTACACTGTTTCTTGTTTGAAATATTTGTGATAGATGACAGCAAAACGCATGAATAAAGTTTGAAAACTGATAAACCGTGTCAGAAATTTAGGTTATGGGTCATAGTTGAAGATTAATGATAACATATCCGACACACGCACTGGATGACTTATCAAACCAGACACGAGACCCTAGTGTAACAGTCTTGTAATGCCTTACAAATATCTGCACTCGACTGAAGAACATTACACTTCAGTATTAGACTTTTCAACCATTGTCAATTTTGGTAAGAATATGTTGAAATATATTGAAGTACATTAGTAAGGTATTTAAAGGCTTCACACTTGAGGAGATGTTAATTTTGACTTTCGAACATGCACATGTGTACAAAACGTAAAACTCAAACCTTTTTGAAAAACATTATTTCAAAACTGAATCAATCTTGCAATTGAAACAAGATTTGAACCACAATTTCATTTTTATTTCATTGTGAATAATGATTTAACCCTCTTTTATCAACGATATATTATGTATGATGTAATTTGCTTTTTTATTATTCTTTACTGACACCAATTTTAGGGCTAGTAATTTGCAGAGTATTTTGTTTATTCCAAGGGCTTTTCCTGAAGAAGAAGGGAAACCGAGTTGTTGTTTGACTTTTAAAGAAGGAATTTATTGTATCGACAAGAAAGAGAAGTATTGGTTCTGGGTACATGTACGTGTTCGTCTGCATTATCAATATTTTGTCTGGCTTAGGGCATTTATGCTTACAAAGCGAAGTAAGGTAAGTTTGTTGTTGTATAGTGAGTGCATGATACTTTTTAAAAAATCGTAGGACCAAAACCCTCTCCCACTAACCATCCCCATTGCTTTATATCCTATTCACAGCAGTATAGGCATGTTTTCTTAAGCTGCCCTTTATAAAGGTATTCTCAACACTTCATGTGATTAGGACCGCCAGTTGATCATACGACAGCGGGAACATCTAGCACTTCTACGGCCTCTACTATTGACACAAGTTCGATTAGCACTGATGCAGTGTCCTCCGGAACTACTGGAGTATCTCCGACAGAAACCACGATTGTATCTTCTGGGACTACTGAACCTGCTACACCTTCACCATATGGAGGTATAATTGGCATTTATTTTAACTATACGTTTCATTGAAAAAAAGAGAATAATGTTTTTTGTATATATTAAATTAAAATAAGCCTTGGTTTTTTTTTGTGTATAAATAAGAGCAAGATACACAAATAATGCAAAACTTGTAATTGTAAAATATAAATGTGTTTCAATTAGAGAAAGTTATCCTTGTTACTGGTTTCCAGCAAAGGAGCAGATTTATATAAGTATTTACAAACCTAATTATTTCTATTATAATAAACAAAATGTGCTATTCAGATTGCAGAAATAATCCAAGTATCGACTGTAAGCTGTACAACTTCAACATGACATGTCCAGTTGATGGAATTTATTACCCATGGGCAAGAAAGAACTGTCCATTATACTGTGGTTACTGCCAAGGTACAAATGCAGTTTACAAGTATCCTCAATATACAAACTACAAAGATAACATCAACCATAGTTCATAAAATATTTCTAATTTGTTCTTTTTCATCTTGTTAATTAGTTCCAACACAGTCTGTGGAATGTAAAGATAAACTTCCTACTTGCGCCGAGTATCAGAGGGACTTGTGCACAAATAATCTGTTTAGACTATTCAGAGAGGAAAACTGTCGGAAATTCTGTAAAATATGTGAAGGTCAGTAGCAAACTATTGTAGCTCTTAGATAGGTTTCTTATAGCACTCAGTCTCCTATATTCATGCCCCCTCTCGAAGAAGGAAGGGGATATTGCTTTGCTGTTGATGAAGTTATGAAAACGAATCACTAATATAACCGCAAATAAAATACTGTAAATGCTTATAAAAGTTATAATCCATTTTATCTCTCCAAGGTTTCAATAACGTCAAAGAATTTTGACTCTTCAAATTAAATTCATTATTCATTATTCATTGATTCTCCATACAGAATACATGTATATATTTTAAAAATGAATATTTGTATCGGAGTAAATCTTCAAGTGAGGTGTCTAAGCGCTGATGATTATTTTGAATATTTTGTGGGGAGAGGGGGAATTTCGAAATTAGAGGTAATAAAAAAAGTGTTTGCAAATTACAAATGTTACAATATGTCTAGAAGTATCAAGAATAGTCTGTATATTGTTCATTATACAACCGAAGTATCTAATCATAAATGTAAAAAAAAAGTTTTAAAATTAATTTAAATCTATGGATAAAAGTCTTAAGAAAACATATCAGCTAAGTAGAAATGTACGACAAGTATACATTTTTATTAAGAAATGTTGGTCGAATAAATGCAGCGACCAAAAATTAACAAATCCCTATTGTATGAATTAGATGAATGTATGATGTTAAAAAAATCACATGGAGTAGGTTATACAATGTACATACAATATCATATAAAATCGATGCTTTTTGTTAAAATAGTAGGCTTATTGCTGTCCTTTTTTATTTTGCAGGAGTTGATTATATTCTGTCTCCACAGTCTTCATTTGGATGAAATGGAAACCATGAATTAATGATTGTCTTAATCATAATTTACATTGAAAAAATAAATACGAGTTCAATGCCAAGATTTTTTTTTATTCCAGTTATGCAAAATTTCAGTCACGAAAGAGAAAGGAAATAAAATGCTTTTTTTTTTTTAATTATATTTCCACAATAATCGCTTACTTGATATTTAGAAATTATTATTGATATATCTCTTAGTCGATTCGTTACGCAAGAACATGCTCTTCATGTACGTCTATGAACAATTTATTAAGTAAATACATGTAAGTAATTAAATCAAACTTCAATGTCGAGGGGTCAGAAATATCTTGTCAATTTTAAGAAAGATTTGCCGGTGGAGAGCTGCAAATTTTGTCATATACTCGGCACTTAGGGCCATTGAGCAGGGAGGGATCTTTTTCGTGCCAGCACGTACTGCGACACGGGTCTTCGGTTTATACGGTCTCATCCGAATGACCGGTCTCCACATCCCAAAGTGGGATTCGAACCCGCGACGTAAGGATCAACTCCTTACTTCGCGACTCTAGAGCAGACGCTCTAATTACTGCGCCACGCGGGCGACCGGAGGTACAGAAGTGATAATAGATAAGAAAATATTTCTAGTGGTCATCGGTATGGTGTTTTGGGCACTAGTTTGTAAAGGGCGGTATTTGAGAGTAGAGTTGTCGGATTCTTCATTGTATTAATAAATATTGAGCTAAATAATTTTATTACAAAAGACCTTCCGTAAATTGTCGACTGTAAGAGTCGGCGCTCCTTGCAAAATTCCATTAATATCTATGTGGTTTTAGAAGACAAGGACTTCTAAAAAAATATGTCGGAATGCCTTTGGGTACCAATTTAGCCCTATTATTAGCAGACCTTATCTTTTGTCATATGAAACAGAATTTGTTCGTAGTCTTAAACATGACAAGAAGAAAATACTTGCTGTGGTCTTAACTCGGCATTTAGATATGTCGGCTACATGTTTGTACTATTAATAAACAATCTTTACGGCGTTTTTCATTTATAACCTAAATTAAACTAAATTAGCATGTAATTCAAGATACCACAGAGTCTGACACATCTGCTTTATAATTGGCTACTTTACAAGAAAAAGAGGGCAACATACTACATATAGTATTAAACAAATAAGCTTTACTATGAACGTGTCGACTTAAAATTGTCAATGCCCCCCTACCTATGTACATACTGATGTCATTGAATATTCATGTACCCTTGTCATCTGCATATTATCATTTTACAAACAGCGTGACAGTTTGCTTGATGGGGCGTGCTAAACTTTTGTGTGCTGGTTATCATTTTACTCATCGATTGGATCAATGAAATCAATACTAGTTTGCATATGAAACTCGGAATACAACAATACCCCGATAATACTGGCCAATCACATTGAATGATTGTTTCCCAGTACGGCATTTGTAGTCAGGAGCAACACGTGGTCAGCCAAAGCCCGTTTTCTGTCCTCCCAAAAGCATGTATTATATTTGTTATGATTTGACCGGATGGGTTTTTAAATACGTATAAGAAAGTTTAAAGAATGGAATTAGTAAGGCTACTCTGCTACTGTTGTACTATGTAGCTATCAATATCATCATTATAGGAAGTAAAACTTGTTTTGTCCGTTCACAAGTAATTGTTGTTTACTCAATGCGACTGGTCAGTTTTGTCAGTGGCATTGCTGGGTTCTGTGTTTCATATGCAAAGTATCATTGATTCTATTGAAATCAAACATCCCATCGATGAGTATAATTAAATGATAATCAGCATACGAAATTTTAGCACGCCCTATCAAGCAAACTGTCACGCTGTTAGTAAAACGATAATACGGTGTTTATATCTTTCAGTTGATTCGATACGAAAGACCATGCTCTACTTACAAACACTTTCTTAAACGATTTAAATTATAAAAAACAAGTTGATGAAGCAAGAAAATCAGCAGTCTCGTTTAATGTCATCATTTCGCAAGTTCTATTGTCGGTACAATGTTCTTGTGCACATATAATCTATCAATTGGTCAAATGTTGACAGACATTTGACATACTAACTGTTAATATTATACTTTCATGTAAATTAGTTGAATCTGATTGGCCGAGAAACATTTGTCAAAAAACACTATTACCCGCTGAATAATGAAGCCACGCCCTCCAGCGTACAGTTGTAGCAGCAGTCAACATTGCTTGACGACAGGTGGTATTCCAAAAAATTGCGACTGCGTAGAATTTATGCGCGCACAGTTCACTGTTATATGTATTTGTATAAAACATTCAGTATGATATAATAAATATAGCATGTAGTTGAGTGTAACATTGAAAATTTTCACCCCTCGAAAACCATTGTCAACCTCGGCTGCGCCTCGGTTGACTATGGTTTTCTTGGGGTGAAAATTTTCAATGTTACACTCAACTACATGCAATATTTATAAATTGTTTACACACTGAATTGGATTTGTTTAATAATTATTTCCAGTTCAGCCCAGGGCAGGTGTGGCTGGTTGCAACCACTATTTTGAAAAAAAGCCTGTAATGAAATACGTATTTCAATAGTGGTTGAGAATGCATTTCAAAACCAAATAACAACTATTAATGAAATAATGTTCACTAATGAGATCTATAATGGATATAAATCATGCATTTCAGAAGTAAAACATGTTGCAATCATTATAATAAATATAACGTTCAGTTTAACAGAATTATTGTAAATGGTTGAGACTGCACTTCAAAAGGAAAAACACAATTTCACACACTTTCTAAAGAATGTACACCTTTGAAAAAGCTTTTGAAATATTGGGTTTTATAGTGGATGAATGAAATAAGTCATATAGTTATTTACATATACTAAAAACTTTTTCCCCTCATAGATAAATTCCTTTTTCAAATTAAAAGTGTGAATTAAAAAAAATGTGGTAAATATTACCGGTGTTGTAGAGTGGGATTTCCCCCAAAGCCAGCACTAGAGTAGGATTTCTCCCGTAGGGGAAATATCACACCAGAGCCAAATTTCCCCCTCTTTCTTTTCCAGAGAAGGATTTCCCCGTTATAAAGTCAATACAAACCACAGCCGCAATATTTAAAGTGAAAAAAAGATAAACGACAAGCTGATTTTTAAAAGATAAATGAGTGGGATTTTTTTACTTATGTTGTAAGGCAAATCATGGAATATCAACCAAAATATTTAGCTTTCAAATGAAATGTAAAGATTTTAGGGCGGAAAGCCTACTCTACAAGACCGGTATGTTATTCACAACAATATTGTAAAAATGTAGAAGAATTCTATTTTTTCGATCGGATTTGTATATCCAGATTTCAAGATACACTTGGTCACACTACATACACTGATCCTTTCAGATAATATAAAAGTCCAATTGATCTAACTTTTATTTCAATAGTTGGTGTTGTTTATAGTGGTTTAGTGAAATGATGGCCATTATTGAAATACTTACTGCATTTCATTAGCGAAATGGTTGCTTACAGGTTTTGATTTTGAAGTGCACTTTCAACCACTTATAAAATTATTATTTTAATGATTGTTATTTCAATAATGGTTGCAAACAGCGTTCGATTTTAAAATGTCCTCTCAACTACCTTTGAAAATAATTGATTATTTTAATAGTGAATGTTATTTCAATTGTGGTTGCAACAGTACTCGCTCCTCCATGGCACCTGATCCTAACCCTGATGTTTTGGCAAGCTTAATTGGTCCTTTTGTTCTCTTACTGAGCATAGCATAAAGTGAACCAACCTCTCTTTCTCTCTATCTTCTCATTGCCATGTTTTATTTCCTTTTATTCTGACTTGGTAACGCAGAGACCAATCATGGTAAGGTTAAAGCGATAAAAGTCATGACAGCAAAATGAACAGGTTAACGCAACCATGACCTAATAAAATTGATATGGTATATGTCTGTCTAAGCATTTCACATCTATGGTAATTTACATTTAACATTAAAAAAGACAATTATGATATACAAACAAAAGCTCGGAAATTCAAAATTCAATTGAACCATAAGCCATAAAATTATGTTGTACCGGTGTATCACCTAATTTTAAAACCAGTAATTGATCTTTTATATAAATGTAATTTTAATTATACAAGTTAAGAAGATTTTTAGCTCACCTGAGCTGAAAGTCCTAGTGAGCTTTCTGATCACCCGTCGTCCGGATCCGTCCGGCTAGCTGTCTGTCCGTCTGTAAACTTTTTACATTTCATTTACTTCTCACGAACCAATGGTCCATAATTAACCAAAATTGGAACAAAGCATCCTCGGCTGAAAGGGAGTTTACATTATAAAAACGAAGGTCCAAGTTTCCTTCAAATGGGAGATAACAGGGTAAGGCATTTTTTTACGTTTTACATTGACATATACAGTAAAAATCTTCTCACGAACCACTGTGTCAGAAAAGCTGAATCTTATGTGGAAATATCCTGGGGTAGTTGAGATTAAATTCAAATCATCAGCACTGGGTGTAGGGCGAAGCCAAAAAGGGGAATCCAATTTTTTTTAGGTCACCTGAGTAACTCAGGTGACCTATTGCTATCTGATTTCGTCCGTCGTCGTTCGTCGTCCGTCGTGTGTTAACATTTGAACATTTTCAGCTTCTTCTCTGAAATTATTGAACCAATTTCAACCAAATTTTGTATACGGCATTTATGTGTAAAGGGAAAGATAAATTCTGAATTTCATGGTCCCTGCCCCCCTGGGGCTTGGGGGGTGGGTCCAAAACCACTAAAATTATTGCAATCTTTAAAAATCTTCTCCTTTACTCCTGGACATCAAACAGGCAAACTGTTGGCATGAATGTATTGAGCATTGAGTCCTCTACCAAAATTGTGAAATTCATGGCCCCAGGGTCAGGGGTTCTAGTGCTACGGCGAGGCTATATAGATTATATAGTGAAAATGCATTATTTATTTAACAAATCTTCTTCTCTGCTGCTGGGTATTAAATAAACTAACTTAGTACATAGTTATGATGAACAAGAGTGCCTCTTCCAAAACTGTGAATTTTATGGCCCCAGGGCCAGGGTTTCTGGTGTTTGGGCGGGGCTCTATTGAATATATAGTGAAAATGCATTTATTCTTTGAAAATCTTTTTCTCCGCTTCTGGGTACTAAATTAACTAACTAAGCACATAGTTATGATGAGCAGAAATGTGCCTCTTCCAAAATTGCGAATTTTATGGCCCCAGGGTCAGGGGATCTAGTGCTAGGGAGAGGTTATATAGATTATATAGTGAAAATACATTAATTCTTTGAAAATATTTTCCTTTGCTCCTGGGTTTTATGCCAGTGATCCAAGTATATATATTTATGATGAAGAAAGGTGCATCTAGCAAATTGGTTATTTTTTTTATGCCCTCCCATCCCTGGGTTGGGGCGGGGGGTTACATAGTCTGAAAATAAATTAATGCTTTGAAATCTGCTCTTTGGTATTAATCAAGCATTTTATGATAAAATTTGCAAAATTTTGAAATATATGGCCCAAGGGTCCGTGGTTCCTTTGGGTGAGGTGCAAAACTGGTTATAAAGTGGAATTGCATTTTCTCTTTGTTACTCTGATCAACCTCTGGGTATTAATTAATAGAGTAAGCATGCTAAGTTTATAATTATGATAAGCAATGGTGCCTCTTTCAAAATTATGAAATGTAAATTTCATGGCCTCTTGTTTAAAACAAGAACCAAAGTTATTTGTTTGAAAGTTGTCACACGATACTCGGGTGACCTATATAGCCAGTGGGCCTCTTGTTGTGAAATATACAGGAAAAATCTTCAAAAATGTTCTTAAGAACCACTTGGCCAGAAAAGGTGAAACTTATGTGGAAGCAACTTGGAGTAGTTGAGATTCTGAATTCTCCAAATCATGACCCACTTGGGTGGAGTCATAATAAGTATTACAAGGGGGGAAATCTGGTAAAGAACAGAATAGCTAAATTACTCAAGTGAGCGATGTGACCCATGCAAAGGCCTCTTGTTTCTTCAAAAATAGCAGTTTTTATACAGAACCATTCAGTAAAAGACGATGGTTATTGAGCATTGTTTGCATTGAGATGCTGATTTCTTTAGAAAGAATCAATATTGTAGAAATGTAGCATTTAATTTTGGTTGATATGTGGACTTAAGAGATCTGAAAAGAATATCGGCCAAGCACAAAGTGCAAGGTCAGATGTTTTCACTAATATGTAAATATTTTAAAGGCTTTTAACGAATCCAAAGGCTATGATTGTTTTATTTTGTTTTAATATTATTAAATGTAAACAAATATTAATGACTAACGAATTTTAAAATTGAATAAATGTTATTCAAAATCTAAAAGGCATATAATTAGTAAATTACATCATAATTACTTTGAAGTGATTTTTTTAGTTATAAGCTCAAACTAGATCACGTGATCCTATCGCAACTTATCAGGCCTTTGAGACAGGCGGAAAAACAACCTCGAAAGTATAACGCAGAGACATGCCCCTCCCCGTTTCACAAAATTTGAAATAAATGTGAGAGAGCCTCTCTTATCTGTGAATAGTACCTAAAATATACTGTGAAGGGACTTTAAACTCCGTCTATCTGATACTTTATAATAAAAAGGAAGAAAATTATGAAAACTTTCTTCTGTGAACAACAATAGTGTCAATGTTACGAAGTCGCTTCTAAAAACAGATCCTCACATTACTTTTGCAGCAGAATACGAGGTACATGGTACAATTTTAATATGCCTAACAAGAACTTGGACAAAGCAACATGATGCATTCCTTAACGAAGGTTTTTGTATATCATAAAAATGTTCACTTGATATATGTACATGTATACGTTAGGTTATTTTTATCACACATACATATACATATTAAAGTTTAATTGTACAACCAGTGAGTTGTACGAAATAGGTCATCGATTTGAAGGCTAGAAAAATACGTGTCTGAAAGCATTCGAAAAATGAAAATCATATAATTATGCTGGTTTTAGCATTTTTTCTACTTTTATGTATATTTCTTTACATCCGTGAAAGAATGTAAGTGAAAGGATGAGAGAGAGAGAGAGAGTTCTGGACTGTATTTCACTAACGATCGTTCTCCAGTTCATTGTTATCTTTAGTACAAATTTTGATCTAAAATTCCGGTCACTTTGGCCCACTTTCTGCAAGACTTCTCTGCAGATGACCCATTATTGTGCTATATCTCTCAAGTATAATGTAACCAAGTACTTGACTTTCTTCTGCTGTTCAGAATTTTAAAAGATGTTTCAATCAAATTGAGTTAGGTTCCGTTCCTTGTATGCAAATCAAAACATGATATATCAAATATGTCAATTATTGTTACAATTTTATGTTTTTATTTGCATTTGTGTAATATTAAAATTTTCTAATACATGGTAATTTTTTAATCAGTATTAAAAAGAAAATATTCAGCATGTATTGCCTTTATAACCATATCATACCTATTTTTCTCCGTTTTAAAAGGAGGAAAAAACAAATTTAAATCGAAGAGACTTTCCTCAATGCAACACCTTAAAACACAGTCAAATATGATTCGGTAAAAAGACGGGCATTATGAAAAAAGTCACTTGGTATCTCTGGAACATATGCGAATTTGAACGTATAATTTACGAGAAACCACTTTACGTTGATCGTTCTGATCAATACGTATACTTAGTGCTAAAGGCGGATGTCAACTGGGGATCATTGCTACCCTTAGGCACGCGATCCCATCTGTTGAAGTACCTGGGCGCAAGCATGTTCACAGATTCATCTTATTTCTCTTTTTTTATTAATAGATCCATCTAATTTTCACCTTTTGGTATTTGGTATCATAATTTTCTGAGATCAAACAAATTGGGACATTAGGGCTTGAAGATTGCAGATTGCGTACATATACTTAGTATATAATATTTTCCTCCACATGCACTTGCCGTCTTTTAATATGAATTCTTCTATTTTAAATTTGTGTTGCATTATTAAGATTTTGAATCATGCATAAACTAACTCTTTAAAGATTGACATTTTCCAGTCACATTTTCACTTTTCCTCCCCTAAGAAATCGAATTACATCGTGACAGAAAATTTGTGAACAACAGAAATGTTATTCCGTCTTTAAGAAGTACAATTAGTACTTTTCTGTTGACAAGTCCATGTAGTTCTACCGAGTGCTACATTTTACGTCAACAGGTATAATATTGACCACTCAAAGAAAATGGCGCAGGGAATATGGGTAATTCAAGTGCAATGACTTTGCTTGGATTGTATAAAACCGAAGACCCTTCGCAAATTCGACCATAGTTAAGCCGTCACCAAGAAAGGTCCCAGAATGCAATAGGAGAATTAACAGGTGTCCTTATCTTATCGCCCACCGTATACTCAAAGACTCTCCCTTCGTTCACTTTAGCTGCGCAGGATCACGGGAATCACACCGGCAGCTTTTAGCTAACTTATAGAACAAATTATGAATTTCTGTGTTTTATTAACTAGCGCCATTTTGGCGGGATGTGTGAATGCACAATTTAGTCTTCATTTTGGAACAAATGCCCCAGCGCCTGTGGCACAAAATTCTGGTAAGAATACTCATTTCATTAAAACTGATAAGACTTTTGACCCCGAAAAGAAAACGAAAAATCGGAGAAAGTCGTCATCGAAATGTTGATGACATACGCCGGGACTTGATCACCACCAGTGGAAAATTATGATAAATAGGATATTGTCAACATCTGGAAGTCGTACCAACGGAATTAATCAAATCGAGGCTCTCCTCGATCGCGACTTTTTTTCTGAAGAGGAACGAAGAAAATGAAGAACTAATAACACAGTTATGGGTCTTTTTTATATTATTCTTCTTCTTTGTAGAAATCTTTGTAGTAGTCTCAGCCTTCTTTTTACGTTGGCATCTATTTAATAGGAGGAAATGTAATCGTACATGTCATGTACGTTTCGAATGTCCTATCGACTACCAAAAAATCATGTTATCGATATTTAGCTGTTGGGGTTCAATGTATATTAAAGTAAATCTAAGCTTCTAAGTTGTATGAAAAATGTGTTAATATTGTAATAATATTGTTTTTCCATCTTTTTTAAAAGTTTGTAAAGATAAGTTAGACAATTGTCCTGCATTCGGAAAGACGTCCTGTGTTGCTCCGTATTTGGAATGGGCGAATGAATATTGTCCGCTCTACTGTGGCTTCTGTCAAGGTAATGTGTACGACATTTAGTTCTTCCAAACTACATGTAGATATTGTAAATCTAATATTTTTTTTTAATTAATTGTTTGCCTAAGGCATACATCATATCGTATTTCAACAATAACATATAATCCAAAATAATGCAAAATCGCAATGTCAAAAATACAGTTTCTACCGAAAAATCTTATTTCATTGCAAAAAAAAACCTAATTTAAATGACTTTAAAAGAAACTAGTAAAAAAAACTTCCATAAATTTCAGAAAAGATTATTATGTCTAGAAAAGAATGAGTCATATTAAGAATTCCTTTAATGCACGATTACATATCGTATGTTGAAGAATTGAAATGAACAGATCATCAAATTGGTCATTTAAAATTAACATTGATTTCTTATAATGAAACAATTTCTTTCTATAAATTAATTACCTTTTTTTTACGATATAGGGCCCCCAACAACCCCTGCTCCTTGCGTCGATACAAGAAGTGACTGTAAACAATATGGCCAAGGAATCTGTAGTGATCCAAAATACGCACCCTGGGTGTTGGAAAACTGTCGCTACTTTTGCAGACAGTGTACTGGTAAGGTTTCTATTCTATTTCTTTGACGTGCGTTGAAATTTGTTGGTCCTTTGAACGTTTATAAAACAAAACAAAATCATGTTGTACTAATAGGATTATGCGTATTTAAAAATTAATTTTCAGAATTGCACTTCGGAAATGATTCTTAAGTTTGATCTAGTGTAATATAAGGAAATAAAAATTGCTAACTTTTATTACTGCAAGACGAAACGAATATTTAGCCAACGAAATTTATTGATTAATATATACAAGTACATGCACTTGAAATAAATGTGACATTTATTTGAAAAGAAAAAAAAATCTGAAATTGATTAATTACATGTCTTTAGCTGTCTTTAATATATCAAAGTATTAACTTTCTTGGTTTATTTCATTTTCATCAATAATTAATATTTCAGCGCAACAGCTTCAGACAGCTGATTCTAGGACTACAACTATTCCACCAGAGCGTAAGTTAATTTTTGTTCTTGTCTTCAATCACCATTCATTTATTGTCTGTTTCCATCCTTTCTGCTGTGCTTTTTTCGATTTTCCATTTTCACACTTTATATAACAGAGAATGTTCCTCTTCAGTTTTTAAAACTTAATTTTAGTTTGATTTAAATAAAAAAAATTTTATCGTGTCTTTGCAACATAACAAATTTAAAGTCAAAAGAACAAACTACAGTGTACCAGATACATTTAATGTATATATTTACATGTATTTATCTTCTGAATTATTCATTTTAATAAAGGTTGTGTTGATAAACTGGATAACTGTAAGGATTATGGACAACAAGCATGTAATACATATAAACCATGGGCTGAGGATAATTGTATGAATACATGTAAATTCTGTGTAGGTATGTAAAACCAATACAACTCCATTAGTTTACAGATTACTATTCAATGTCTTTATTCAACATTATCATATTATTAGTTGTTTAATTGATCTTGTTACATTTTTGGCTTTTTTTCGCCTTTTTAGGGCTTGCAACACCAGCGCCGCCTTGTATCGACAAAATTCCTAACTGTAAATCTTATTCCGCTGAGGCTTGTTCAAATCCTTCCTATCGCCCATGGGCTGAAGAGAATTGCCGAGCTCACTGTCAGTTCTGCACGCCATCTGGTGGTCAAAGTAAGAATAATTTAATTAAATGATCAACGCTACAAACATTTAAATCTTTTTATACGAAATTTACGAAAGACAACTGAAGCACATAATATGTTTGTATAGTTTTCTTATAGCTTTTTACACATTGAAATATTAAATTTATACCTATTTCTTTTGATGCGTTTTAAAATTTTTGCTGGATATTTGAATTATAATCATTTAAACGTTAAGGCATTTTTTGACAAAAGACTAATTCTTTTTTAATTTTAATGTCGCTGATTGTCATTTTAGAAATAATGTTTGTATTTAAATAACTTATCAACCCTTCTTTTGAATTCATATCCAAAACAAAGTTTTGGGAATAAAAAACATTTACCTAAAATACCCTAAAAAGAATATTTTCAAAATTATTGTCACAATTTAACATCACATGTTTTATGCTGGGAAACAGTGGAGAACAGGAAAAGAGCCCCGTATCCCCGATAATACATTCATTGATAATATTATCAGAATAGACTCCCTCTATCCTGACGCTGCGTGTCTTGATGATATTTTCAGCTCGAGGATTTCTTACTACCCTTCTTTGGTCGATCATGCTACCAAAAAACTTTAAAGAATTAAGTTGTGAACTTTATAAATGGGGGTCTTTATGTAAATATATGCAAATACAACATATTATTGACATAACTAATTCACTAGGGTAATTAAATCTTACTGAAAATCTACAAACAACATATTCGAAAAAAAAGCCCATCATTTTTTCTATCCTTTTGCTATTTTTTATAGTCTCTTTATAAGATATTATTGAGGTCTTTTTCTAGGCAATGTATTTTTTACAGGTACCATGGGAGTGCCCACACCTGCCATGCCTACGCCTGCACTGCCAACAAGTGGCCCTATGATATTGCCCGCAGGTAGAGGCGGGAGGAGAACAAACCTTTATCATTTCATTTTTGCTTTCAATGTTTTTAGGAGAAGCATACATGTTCTTCCTTGTTGCAGAGTTCATGTTTTTATGTTTTTTCACAAGGTCAACTTCTTCAGGAAGAAGACTTTTCAATGCACTGATTCCTGCTGTATTCAATGTTTATTACTGGATATCATCTTGATGTTTAATTTGTTTAAAAAAATTATCTACCTATACACCATTGAATGTACAAATATCCTTTGTTGCTTTGTCTGGTTCAATGTTCATAATAAATCTTTTGAAATTCGTGTCTTGTTCATTTTTGTCCCTCTCATGCCTGTATCCAATGTTTACCTATGTTATTTTGCCATCCTTATGTGTTAACATCGCCAATATTGAAATGCAACATAACTGTACTTGTCCATCTTCCTTTTGGATCCTCCCACACTTTCCCTGTATTATGAAAAGAATTTGAATAATATTTTGGGATTCTTTCTTTACTCATTGTTAATTCAGATCAGATAATATAATAATCTTAATTTAAAAAGTTAAAATTTAAATTTACCTGACATTTTCTTATAATCATTTAACTGTATCTATTAGGATTTGTCAACATTCCCACACCAGTTCCTGGTAGGACTTATGCTCCAAGCAAACGACTTGTTCCTCGTTAGTATAAAACTAAATATTTTGTGTGATCACAGTGTATTTAATCCAATGTCTCCTTAGAGGGAGGTAGCTTTATTTTTTTTTTACCTGTTACCTACCTGTATTGATCTAGGTTTAATATGATGTAGTTTTCTTATGGGTAATATTATTTGTAATCAATTTGAATTTGAAAAAAGATAAATTGTAAAGGTGAAATAAAATATTTCACGTATTTAGTGTTTGTCATTGTTACTATATACTTACATTATTCTTAAGTGATAAGATTGGGAAATATCTGCTCTTTCCTAACTTGTTCATTGATTGCTTGACAGCACTCAAACGTCAAGTGCCTCAGCCTCCTGGAAGCAGTGCAAATCATGGTGGACCAGTGCCTTTCGAACCTCATACAAAACGTCCGACCACCACCACAACTACTGAAGCTCCTACCACCACAACCACCACCACAGAGGCCCCAACTACCACCGAGGCGCCAACTACCACAGAGGCGCCAACTACCACAGAGGCGCCAACTACAACCGAGGCGCCAACAACCACCCCAGAACCCACTACAACTACTACAACCACAACTCCCAAACCAACAACCACCACAGAGAAACCAAAGAAAGTCTGCAACAACCTTATGGTTCCTGGAAGTGGTCCAGAAAGTATGAGCTTTCTTTATAATCTAATCCTTCTATTTATAAGAATTTTAGAAGTTCATGATGCGTCTATTTTGAGTATTCATCACTTTGATTTATTCTTTGATATACAGGAAATAACAATTTTGAAATAATGTTATCACATTTGTTCTACCCAAGTTTTTCGTATTTTGCAGCGGACATGCAACATGGTGGTATTCAACAGCCTGCCCAAGAATGTAATTTTATTAGTTTGTAAATTTTTGTAAAAATTATATTTTTACATACTATGGTCGTTTTCTTCTGATATCAGTCAGCAGTTTCTCACTTGAGACGCATTTACAAGCCAATAATGAATTTTATCTTAAAAATAAAGGGAATTGTACTTTGAAGGTCACTGGGTCACCGCCAAACCAACTGAAAAGCCAGAAACTACCACACCAAAAATGACAACCCCAACACCCGAGGTTACAACAGAATCAGTTAACACAACAGATAGCGGTAATGAAACGACAACAGAAATGGCTACAACTATGGAGCCCCAAGTTACAGATAACGGCACTGGAATGACTGGCAATGAAACAGATACGAATTCTACTACCCCTGATAACGGGTCCGGTATGATGACCACAGAAGGACCAAGTACTAATGAAACTACTCCTGAACAAGTTACAACCAATGCCCCTATTTCAACAACAGATAATGGATCTGGATCAGACAATGTAACAAGTATGGGAACCGGAAACACAACTGACTCCGGAGTAACTGAGTCAACAATGTCTCCTGATAATGGCTCAGGCACTAATTCAAGTGGAGGAGAAGCAACTACAAGATCCGGCGGCGAAGGTCAGGGAACAACTATGGGGTCTTCTGAGACTACTCCAGATAATGGTTCAGGAACAACCTCAGGCAGTGGGTCAGGAACAGCAGGCGGGGAAGGGACAACAGCTGGAGGCTCTGGATCAAGCGTAACAAAACCAACTCCTGACAATGGATCAGGAGCATCTACAACTGAAGGAAGCAGTCAAACTGGTGGAAATAGTTCTCTCGTTCCGGTCCCTTGTGGTAGTGGACCTGACACTTGTGGACAGGGTAAAACAAAATACATTTATTACTCATGAATTAAACTTTTATAATGATATTTTTCTGAGCTTTTTTATTTATTTGTTTCCTCATTGTTTTTACGTTTTAGGTGTCGTGACAACCGACAGCACAGGTAAACTTAAATAATTTCTTAAAGATGGATCAGTGGGATTGCTTTCAGCATGCTTATATTTTCTTTTGCCTATCTAGAAGGTTTCAAAGGACAATGCTTTTTTTTTGCTTTTGCCTATTGCTTTTCTCTCCCTCCTAGTACCCTCAGGGGGAAATGCAAGTACTCCTGACAATGGCGGATCAGATAATACAACGACGGTTAGTCCAACTGAATCACCAAATGGACAAAGTACCATTGATATGGTAAATCCAACTAAATCACCAAATGGACAAAGTACCACTGATATGGTAAATCCAACTAAATCACCAAACGGACAAAATACCACTGATTTGGTAAATCCAACTAAATCACCAAACGGACAAAGTACCACTGATATGGTAAATCCAACTAAAACAACCCCTGTTGACGTACCAACTAAACCAGACAACGGGTCAGGAACCACTGGAATGGTTGATACAAGCCCACTTTCTACCGACTCTGCTATTCCCACAAAGAGACCACCTGGTAGCACAACTCCCTTGGTTGTACCAACAAAGCCAGGCTCGGGTAAGCTAATATCTCTCTGAGATACTAAATTGATAAATGTAATTGATATTCTTGCAGATGCTTTGAAAATAAATTGGGTTCAGTGTCTGGATTTTCAAGAACTTTCAAAACTGATTTGAATTAAATTTTATATTGCTTGAAAGTTAATGATTGAATTTTCTCTCTATTTTTAGGTTCTACCGATGTCACTAATGATAATGGCAGTGGTACATCAGGTAAAATTAGTCAGCCATGACTTGACTCCATCTTAAACAACTTAACGTTTGTGACGCTACTAGCACAGCATAAAAGCCGTGAACGATAACTTGACTATCAGTAATACAGCGTTAAATTCGCGTAACGTGACTTGACTACAACTTTGAACAATGGGACTTAATTCTTACAAACAAATTACATTGTAAAGATATTTTTTTAAAAGAAGGCAGTTATGGCAATACAGAAATTGAAGTAAGTTTAAGCATCAAGAAAGCTTTTTTGAAATAAACCCTGAAGGCTGCTTGATTTTTCCAACGCAAATATGGCTTAGCTTTATAACTCGCACAATTGACTCTTTTTAACCAAATGCTTTCTGCACTATTTACTTATTGTTACAAATTGATTTTGACATTGAAGCCTGCATATTAAAACATTCTTTTTCACATTGTTTCACATTCACTTTTTTGTGAGATATTTTTAAATTTTCGTTTATAGACAAATTTGATTTGTTAATTTACGAATTAGCTTTTCTCTCAAATTAATTATATATTATATATATAATTGATTATTTTTTTTTCAAAATGTTTTTACATCAAAATATAAAATTTATATATTTGAATGTATTCTATAATTAAGTTAGATATAAACACTACAGGCTAACATCCCAAATTGATCTTTTAGATTTTAAGGAATAAAAGATTTTAGATATCAAATATGGATATTTTTTTCAATAATATTATTTAAATCATTTATTTCAAATTTCATTTGACTGCATTTTTTAACATATTTGCATGATGGTTATGTTTCAGAGTACAACAGTGTGTGCTTTTTTAATTTTATATAAACATTTATTGAATGCTAAATTTGAATAAAATTGATGATTTTCTTACCTACAACTTCCGTGCAGCTACATGTCCTAGTATGTGAAAAGTCTTTATTACATAGAAAGCATTAATTATACAATATCCTACAGCGAATGTACCCACCAAGGCCCCTGGATCCTCTGCAGGTCCCACTAAAGTTCCCTCTGGCACCACCACTGGAAATGAAGGCACTGCACCAGTGGTAGGTAGCAGCGAAGTACCATCCCCTGGCACCACTGCACCACAAGTCCCTACAAAGGCCCCAAATGAGGGTACAGGCCCTACCACACAGTTTCAGATCCCTACGAAAACAGGTAGATTTTTTATTTAAAACCTGCATTAATATTAAACTTTACTTATCGAACTCTTTGAAAAAAAATCGATTTCTCATTACAAACTATTTTCTCGTTCTGTTTATCTAGCATCCAACACTCCAGATCTAAGCGTCACGAATGGTTATACGGCCGATACCAGTAGTGAGTCACGTCTTACTATAACCATGATAACGTTATTTTAAATGATGTCATCAAAATGATATCATAATGTTTAAATATCTGATTGATATTCTTCTTTCATATTTAATACGTAGAGAATTCATGAATGTTGTACTGACGAGAAAAGCATGAAGAACTCTGATTTGCTGTAATACTTTTTCTAACATACACAAAATAGTTTTACTTTCTGATAAAAAAAAAAGAAGGTTAAGAATGTTATTGCAAGGGAAAAACTATTTAAATGGATGACACATACTCATGTCCTTTTATCCTTTTTATTAAATTAATTATGCAATTCTTTTTCAGAGTGTGAGGATAATCCAGATATACAATGTATCTTGTATAACTATACACGTGTTTGTGACAGAGATGGTATATACGCACCATGGGCACAACAGAACTGCCGAGCCTATTGCGGGTACTGTCAAGGTGGGCATAATATGTGAAAAAAACGTCTCTGCACATTACGATGGCAAATAATATTACTAAGTAATACATCTTGTTAATACGGGTGATTTAATTGTAATAACTTAAAAAATAAGCAGGAAACACAAAAATGCACAGAGTGCTATTTCGGATGAAGCGATTTTTAAAATTTAATATCTTTTTAGTTTTAACAACAACAGTTCCATGTGTCGATGAATTACCAAACTGTGATGAATACCAAAGTGATCTGTGTACAAACAACCTATACCGATTATTCAGAGCCAAAAACTGTAGGAAGTTCTGCAAAATCTGCACAGGAGGTATTTATCATGAAATATATCATGAAACTTATATAAGGTCTCAAAATAATAACTTACTCTGAAAAATTGACTAAAATACTCTCTTTCGTTTTATTTTCCTCGATCTTTTGCAAAAGTTTTCAAAATTAAGTTCCTTTCAAGTTTTTCAGAATGAGGTTTTATGAGCAAAGTGACGTAATTATTTCTATTTATATTTGCTAAGTATATCTTTTCCGTACAACTATATTTATTTTATTTTTTTCAGATTTTGATCATATATCTGTCGCCCCATCATTTTAAATGCAATTTCTTCATTTAATGGCTGTATTATAAGTCAAAAATACGCAAGAGCTGTACATCTTAAAACAAATGTTTATACTAAATAAAACATAAAACATACTTAATTGTGTTATTCTATTAATATTTTACCACAAAATTCAATGATGTCTATGATATAAAACGTTTCTAGAGTAACTGTTGCATTTTTGTTCATCAAAATCTAAATTATAATTAATGATAGTTCTACTAGTAATAGGGCAATACTGTAATTACAATATTTTAGAATATCTTCTCTCTCTTGTCAAAGGCTGGTCAAGCATTTGTTACAAAGTACAAGTCTCGTGTTATCAATATTTTTTACCTGCTTCTTCCATACATTCTCATATAAGACTGTACATGTACTGGCAACTTGAAAGATATGAATGAAACATATGAAGATAACGAATAGTATTCAAGATCAAAAGTCCATAAAACATTACAAAATAGGAGTAGAGCAAACACGGACATTCAAAACATCAGAGATGGATCAGATGCCAAAGAAGAGTGTGCATCCCTTGCCAACCGGTCACACACGTCGTGTGCTCTTTGTCATGACCTGGAAATAACGGAAATATCCGTCATCAATTCAGTGTATAAATAATGGACTACCAATTAGTATGAAAAACGTCAGTCACCATTTGACTCAATGATAAATTGTATTTGCTGACAAGTTAATTGTTTCGACCATAGAACTTACGAAATGGTGACTTTAAACGAGACTGCTGATATACTTGTTTCATCAACTTGTTGTCAATAATTTACCTCGTTTTTAGAAATTGTTCATACGTAGAGCATGCTCTTGCGTATCGAATCAAGTGAGATATATAATATGCTGCATAAGTAAGTGAAGTTGGCGATAGAAAAGTTAAAGTCATCAAGTTTTTCATAGAGCTTTTCATGGTTGTTATATTACAATTAACGTATTTTTAAAAGTAAAATATCCAAGTATGAAACAGATGTGTTAGACTTTGTGGTATCTATCATTTCAAGCTCACCAGGATATATAATATCGACATAGGAATGGAAATTACCATTGTTAATTGACAATAAGTCGTCGATATATCTAAATGTCGAGTTGAAGGCCACAGCAAGTGTTTTCTTCCTTTCACTCATAAGATTTTGTACAAATTCTGCTTCATATGAATACAAGAATAGATCTGCTAATAACGGAGCGCTTTTTGTACCCATGGGGATTCTAATAAATTGATGGAAGACCTGGTCCCAAACACCACATAGATATTGCCAATCAGAAACTCGAGCATCCTCTTGATGTCAATTTCAGAGTACTTGTGTGTGCAATCAAATTATTGCCAACGATATCAAATAGCCTGGACTTTAATTTATCGCGGGGAATGGTTGTGTATAAAGTTCAAAAGTTGTAAGTATTTAAGATGTTGATTATGGTAAAATCTTGTGATTTCAAATTGTCCAAAAGTTCTTTAGATATCCTCATCTGATTCACACCACTTCTTGGATATATTGTTGCACAGTATTCTTGAAGTTTTTCCTTCATAACTGTCAATATCTTAGTGAGGATTACAGAAAAGGCTTGGTTGAACATTTATTTAATTTTCTATAATATATTCAGTAAATATTTTACTTACAGTCTGGGGAAGTGTTAAAATGACTGCATTATTAAGAAAAAATGGGTTGAAATGCTTAGCCATTCCATTCTCATGTTTGGAAACCATACTAAGTACTGAAAACATATCGTACATTCTCAGTATAAATACCTACAGACCTAGGTTTTTATCGTCATTTGACAGAGTCTATTATTTCTTCGTTCAAATATTTTATATAAGTAAATTCCCATCAAACCATGGGGAGATAATTATAGGAATCAAGTTGACAATAGTTTCATGTATATAATAACTCTGTCCGTATGTGCAATCATGACAGAAATTATTAACTAAAATACGAAAGAAATTTATATTTGACATAAAGCTTTTATTACCTGATTTGAACAATGACATTTCATGCTTTAGAACTACAACAATTCCATGGAGAAAAATAGTCCAGAACTGTTTTTTTTAACAAAAAGTTGCCTTATTTCTGAAAACTGCCGTCAAAAATCAAAGCATAAAGAACGTGCATTTCACGCATGAATTACCTCAGGACAAGAATATTTTTATACATCTCCCATCATTCTTTTGTGTTTTACTGTTGTTGCCTTCAGCCATATTAAAACATGTCGTCTGCAAGGTAAGTAATATCTTTGTTATGAGAATATCCAATATTGTAAGAAACCTTCTAACTTAAGAAATAATTCTGATTCTTCCTTTTGAACTCAAATACCTCAACATGGATTCCAAAACGAATCATTTAAACCTTAACAAAACAATGTAGTTAATGTACTCATTTATTATTTGTGACTTGTAACTCCATAGCGTTTTCTTAAAGGGCACTCTAACCCAGTTGTTTTTAAATCAAAAATTAATAATATTACCATTTTAAGTTCGAGACATAAGGTATATTACAAACGTCCATTTGTTGAGAATCTTTAAGATAGAGCACAAATGTTTTAAATAAAGTTGTTCTCATATACCGTACATCATGTTTATTTAATATGGTTAATGAATAATTTAATAATTTTTTTTACCTTTACTGAAATTGACCCACATAATGGTTTAAATAAGGATATTTAATATGTGAGACACTTTTAAAATTCTAAAATAATATATATTTTATTTTATTCACAAGACCTTCGGAATTAAACTCGTCTCATTTCCAGATGTTGCACCACTCTTCCATTACTTATCAATCACTGCTCTCTCTCTTTTTTTTTCTCTATCTCTCTTTTTAAATAGATTGCATGTTTCACAATTAAAATTTAGAATCAATTTATTGAAAGGTATTAAACTTTGCTAATCTTAAGCATGTTCAGTAAATTTGCATATTTTGTCATATCTAGCCGATTATTAATATCTATTAATATTTATAATTTAACAAAGAAAGGATAATTTATAATGAGGGGGAAGCATTATTCGGTACATGTATATACATGAAGTGATATTTTCTAACTATCAATCGTAAGGAGATAATAAGGAGAATAAATTGCTTATCCTCTCTACAAATATATATTATTAATCTTGTGAGATACTTGATAAAAGACGAATGCCGTTTTTAGATCATGATTCCCGATCAGTTACCTTGAGTAAAGCATAATAAAGTCTTGTCATTCGATGTCCTTTGTAATAGCCATGCCGGAAGCATTAACCAATAATTACTGCAATGTGTTGTGTGCGTGATGTATTTTACCTAACATTTAGACATGATTTATCCAGCAAAATTTACCAATAATTCGATATTTTGTAGAATATAAACGTTTGTTTTAAGAACAAGTTGTATTGCAATGTTTTGCTTAGTACGAAATTGATTGACATTTTCATGTTCCATAAATCATCGAACCCATTGTGGTCAAATATTTCTTCTGTCCAACAAGACAAAAACGTTAGGCTCAGCCAGCGGGCAAAAAGAAAATCATCTTATTATAAATAAGCAAATCTTAAAATAAATTATATACATTTCTCGTAAAAATGAAAATTAAAAGGACAATTCTACATGTCTTTTACACAATATTTTCTTTTTTAAATGCATCTACGTTAAGGAGTTAAGCAATTCTAATATTTTTCATAATTTTTTCATAATTTTGCATATGAAAATGGCAATATTTCTTCGTCTTAAGAATAATCAGTCAGAGGAATTCCTACTTCCTGTTTGTGGAAGTTTTGCCGGATTTGTTTTCTTTATTAGATTTTTTGAATTTTACAATGCCAAGGAAATACTTATTTCTTCAGACTATATTAAATTAGCGCTTTATAAATTCATATATATTATTATTATTATGAGTTAAAACATGACTTTTCCGAAATATTCCATTTCTATTAATTTACATTGACTGCAAATATGAATGAGCATTAAGTAGAAATTGTATTACAGCAAAGTAATATTACATGTACATGTATATAACATTTAAAATATTCTTATTTCTTCTTTTAATTTGTTCATTTGTACATATGTTCACTATATTCTTCTTTGAATAATTGTAATACGGTAAAATGAACTGTCAGTTGTAACTTTATTCATTTTTTACAGGATAAACTATTTTGGATTCTTTGGAGTTGCACTCTATCTCGCTGCTACAATATGCATGTCACTAGCACAATGTAAGCTATTCTCTCAATTAGCTGAATTTCAATGAATTTACGATATAAATGTAATAACAAATAATTATAAGATTGAATTCATATTGGGAATTGATTTTTTAATCAACTGTTGTTTGATACTTAAGATATATATATATATACTAAGATTTGGATATGATTTTTATCCAATGAGTCGTGTATCTTTTTTATTCCGAGCCTCGTCTAGGGGATTAAAGCACACAACGATTTGGATAAAAATCATATTCAAGCACAAATCCGGGGAGATTCTTTCTATCAGATGTTCCATGTATTCAAATGATGTTTATTTCCTTAGTTCTCCTGCAAAACGACTGAGCTTGTTTTTTGTTTTTTTTTGTTTTTTGTTAAAGATAGGCAAAAACAAATAATATCATGTAGAAGTGAAGTATGTAATTTATTAAAGTAAATGACAAAGGAAGTAAAACAAAGTTAAATGGGGGTCAAAAAAGGGGGACTCAAATATAGAGTATTACACATTTTAAGCAAAATATTGCACTATCATAAACATAATATAGTATACAAGGAGTGATATAATTGGGATAGGGCGTTAACATGTGATAAATATATATTTAAAAGAAAAAGAGACAATCAGAGATTTATGTGCACACTTTATTACCACATGTTAATTTTTATCCCTTTTTTACAGTGGAATGTGCAAGGTACCCTTTATGCGCCGATAGCATGTTCAAAAAGCCTATTGTGATAGAAACACGCTTCAACAACTCCTTTATTGAATCTGTGAAACTTTTAGAACGCTACTCGTACTATAAATGTGAACCCAAAGAAGAAAAATATGGAATCGGAGCGGATAGCAAAGAATGGTGGGTGTTCAAGGGCTGTGGAGGCGTCTTTGAGGTCAAAGAGTGTGCAGAAGAGGCCAATGTTGCCTTGCAGCAGAAACCTAAAGAGATGATTAAAAATCACCATCGTGAAATTGACAGAAAGTGTCGAGTTGGACTAGGGTTGGAAAAACCAGAGGTACGTATTTAATGTTTCATTACTTATTACTTTTGTTAAAAAAAATAATTGTCAATATTGTATAATTATACACATGTTAATTGAACAAAAGTTCCATTAAAAGGTGGTTTGAATTCCTCGAACCATTCTTTCGTTGCAATGAAAAAAAACCCATTTATTTTCACCATAGAACAAATAACAAATCAAACTATTAAATTAAACTGTCAATAAACAAGATGATAATAATGAATGTTTTATGTCTCTTATCTTTAACTTTTACATGCATGTACGTGTAATATTGCAGGGGTTAAATAAAACGAATCAATGTTCTGACATGTACAAAATATTTTGATTAAAAAAAAAAAGAGATGCCAAAGCGTAAGAAGAAAATATCTTAATAAAATAGTTTCTGCCACCTAATATATAGTGCATATGATATTTGTTTGACAATTAAATATACTTTAAAACTATTTTTTAAACATTACTCACATATGTACATTTAATGCTTCTGCCACTTTAAAAAAATATTGATACTGAAAAATAATTGTCTCTCTCTTTTCTTCTCTTTCAGAAAGTGTCGGAGTCTTTTTAAAAATTCACATCTGGTTGTGATGCCAATAAATTATATACCATTTCATTACATTGTATCTTGTTTTGATTAATCAAATTATTCACATGATCATTTAGGAAAGAAAAAAGAACAAGATGCGTTTGTAAAACATTGTTGCCCCGTATTGTAGCTGACATGGGGAAAGTGATATTTTCTAAAACGGCATGTCAAACTCAAATGTCACGAAATTAGAAAATTGGTACTCATCTATCAAGGATAACTGTGACAAAGATGTGCAATCAAGGAAGGAAAATATTCCTCTTGTTTGTTTTGTATCTCTTTTTGAGTCCTTTAATGCAATTACAAATATTTTCATCACCTTTGTTTATTCTCAAAAGTATAAAATCCAAATTTACCTATTAGGAAGCATAATTTGTTTATCATTTTGGAAATTATCAAGAATAAACTATAGTACGAGGATTAGGATTCAAATGCAAAAAGTCTCTGCACCAATACAAAATTAAAACAAATCAAATAAGAAACTTTTCTAAAACATCAGAAATATTAGTAACGTCCCCTGCCAACAGGTCACACCTACCATGTACATGTACTCCTTCATATGATCGGGTAAACAGGAAAACCTGTGCACAAATAAGTGAGGAAATAATGACCTAAGAATCTTCGGGAAAGCGTTTGTAATCCTTCGACATAACGATGGATTAAATGAATTATGAATATAATTGTACTAAACTTTCATAGAATTTGCAATTTGCTGACTTCAAACAAGACCGTTAAAACTATTATATCAAAAACGTATTTTATTAATACCTTGTCTTGTTTAAGAATTTGTTAGTACGTAGAAAATGCAATTGCGCATGAGCTCCCATTTGCAGGGAATAATTAAATATAACAGTAAATTGCTAGATCTAAAAAAGAAAAGTTGACAATAAAAATTAATAATTGATGACACTTGCATCTGCATGATGAGCAATTTAAATTCATTGTTACAGTTTCATAATACCAAATCTACAATATTTTTCATTTAACCAGAAATATTCTAAATATGATAAAATTTTCAAAATGGAATAATCTTATTCTTTTGCAGTAAAAAGATATTTAAAACAATTTATACTACTTTTATCTATAACTCACCTACAGACTTATCAGCCTAATCTAATTCCTGATCATAAAATATTTCCTATCACGTTATTCAAACAAAAAAGTAGAAACCTAGATATTTTTCATAAATCTTCTTCAGATAAAAACAAGAAATCAATTTTCATTTCATTTTCGTTTTTAATGAAATACACACTTTCCCCATCAATTTTTGATCGGGCTTACAGAAGTCATATTATCATATTGATTAATTCGATTCAGATTTCACAGCTGTATATTTGAATCTCGAAGAAAATCGGTGTCTAGGACGGCGACACTTGGTTATACCTAAAAACAAAAAAAAAAAAGATGCAACAAAAGGGACACTTCAAACATGTGGAATTTTATTAATTGTGGATTTTTTTTTATTAAGAAAACAAACAAAAAAGTAAAAACTTTCGACTGAATTGAATACTTTTCTATATACGTGTACCTGACCTCCTTTAAAGTTATAAAACATTTTTTGTTATCTAAGTATTATAATAGTATGATCCAGTGCATACATGTATATTTTGCTTTATTGACAAGAAAATTGATTATACTATAAAATCAACATACATATCAGAACAATAAAAAAGGTAATCCAACTCTAACAAATTTCACATCCATGTATTTACCCCTTCTTTTTGTTCCTTTCCTGAACACGTTTAGTACACAACAAATTAATAATGAACAATCGCATTCATTCTCAGTTAAAAGTCCTAGCAAATCATAACGATCTGTCATAATTCAATTCTCAATTAACAATGTAAGGACATACTAAGAAAGATATGCTTTAGAAACTTGTTAATTTGTAGACTTATAATAATTAAAATACATATTCCATTACAGTCAACCCTGTTCTTTAAATAATTTTTTTTTAATCTATTGGATATAATTGGTGAATTTTGAATTCTTCTATAAAATACACTAGCACTGGATTTCTTTCTAATATTAATTCATAAAAATGTGAACAAATAATATAAAACCCTTTTTTCATTCATTTTAATTCATGTGTAATAATTACCTTGATGGATAATCATAGTCATCGTCGTCGTCACTGTATGTAAAAATAGATCGAATCTATATTAACATGTAAAAAATATTCCAAAAAATGTATCTTTACAGGTTATTTCTAGTACTCTGCGAAATCATGAGTTTTAAAACAACAATATTATCTGATTTTCCTACTACTTAACTTAAAATAATTATAATTTTTGATCTTGCAAAGAATATAAGTAACATATTTACCTGAAATCTTCATCGTCATCTGAGTCACTACAAATATATTTTATTAATCTTAATAAGTTAAATAAATTATGTAGAACTAAAAAGTGAGTTTTATTTAAAATTCATATAAATGCCTTTTAAAAAACAAACATCTATAATAACGAAAATATAAAATTCAGACAGAGAGCATCTAAAAAAATTATTCCAATAATTGTATTTCTTGTGAAGTGTAATGAAGCCCATGTTTTTGTCTATATAATACTCACTCTCCATATCCCTCGCACTCTTTCATTCGCCGGTAGTATTTGGACAGTTTGACGGAAGTAATTATTACCGGAACAAAAAGAACTAAAGCCCAACCAGTACCAAACCAAAATCCATTCTGCCGAAAATAAATTAACAGCTATCTAGATTATTTCAATTCTATCTATATAGAAAAAAGTCTTTGACAAACATCTATCTAGATTATTTTCGTTCCATATACAGAAAAAAGGCTTGAGTAAGGCAAGTCTTTTAAGTTTGTCAACGAAAAATGAAGCTGATGTAAATAATATCTAAAGAATTTTAAGACAAAAAACTAAATTAAATCACGTTTTAAGCATTACAGTAAAAAACAGTTCAAAGAGCATAATAAATTTGAGATTTTATTAAGGTTCCAGTAAAGATAAAGAATTGGTCATACCAGGGCATCAACTGTATAACTACAGAGCATTGTAGTAAAAGATTCGTACATATTCCAAAGTGGTAGGCAATTGGCAAGGTCATTAAATATCTGTAATTAGAAAATAATGGTTGGTTTCACTGACTGATACATCGACAACTTTAACATTTTGAACCGGCAGTGCACAGAGTATTACATACCGATATTTGCATACGAATAATGATAATCTATACAATATTATAATTTGTAGATCTGCAGTTATTTTCCTATAGTAATACTACTGTTTGGACTTACCAGCCATCGTGTTCTTTCTATGTAGGAATCAATGTAACCTAAAATCAGGTTTTTATAGGTCAATGCCACCTGAAAAATATCTTTAAATTAGAAAAAAAAAACATTCTAATTGTTTTGTGTAACCAATCCTAGTCATTGCCGACAAATGTGTATGGTCTCCTCCTAAAAATTAAATAGGATGTAATTTAGTGAAAAAATATCGAAGCGAAACTTAATGAAAACTTGGTCTTCGAAGTACAATCATAAACAGTCGGACAGACAAGGTGGAATTCTTTAGTTTTTTCCTGTAGGGAACTGAAAGTAGATGTCTTTCAAAAGAAGGACATTTGCTTGAAATACTTTAAAAGATATAAAAAGATCTATTGCTTTAAAAAAACTATGGTCTTAAGCTTACTTTTTTGCTTCAACTGAAATGTGACATAACCTAGACGAATATTTTAATGCTTAGAACTGTTTTTTAAGGTAAGATTACTCTGTATACAATTAACAATGAAATTAAAGTATATTGGCCCGCAGCTTTACCTATTATATACTTCTAAAAAAAAAATGAAAATCTTTATTATAAATTCTTACATCAGTCAGGACTGCTGTGGCGTTAGTTTGAATCTGGTTATCTGCTGTCTGTGCTGTACTTATAACATTATCTATTTTACTCTGAAAGATAATAAAATGTTTATACAAATTCATCCATAGTTTACTTTTCAGAAGGAAGTCAAGTCAAAGTTTGTAATTGTTATAAATTTCATAAAGTCGCGTTTTCTACAAAATAAAATTGGTTAGGATAAAGTCATCTACTTGTTTGTAGACCACACCCAATAATCGAAATGTTTTACGTAATAATTTTATTCTTGCAAAGGGTTATATATCCTTAAATTCCAGGAAACAATCTTTTAAAGCATTAATTTACATCTTTTAAACGACTTTCGGATACCGAATTTAGAAAAATTCAAAATGGCTGATCGTAATTCAAGAAGCATTTTTTTTAAAATCAAGAACGAACAGCTAATTTTGGAGATACAAAAGCATAGATAAATAGAAAGCGGTTCTACTTTTATTCCAAATCCTTTTCAGACCTTGAATTATCTAAATGTCAAATCGCCCAACTTTATTTAAGATACAAAATTATGTACGCAATCTATAAAATCTAAAACAATGATACCCCTTAATGCAGCTCAAAGTCAAGATTTTCAGAGGTCAAACTCCAAAGTCAAAGTCAAGAGTGAGAACATTGACTCCGTTTTAAATTCCCTACTGAGAGCAAATTGAGAGAAAAAATCAGGTGGACATTCAATTTCTTGCCATCTTCTTGATCAAGCATCATTGTTTTATTTACCCAAAAATGGACTTACTGTTACACCACCAATAGATCCTTCTAGTTGGCCCATGGATGTTTGTAGAGTCGTCTACAATAAGAAGAACATGTAAACATTTGAAAATTTCAATGCCAAGCTCAGATGTAAACATTGATGATCCAAAATTTCATTGCATCAGTTTAAAATCCAAAACAATTACGAATCTTCAATCAAAACGACGTAAATTTACGAATGTTTCATCACATAGAAAATTTGAACAAAGATGTCAAAGAGGAACCAGCCTCACCTTTGCCGTTTCAACAGCGGGAAGGTGCGTGTCTCGAATGGTTTTTGTGTCATCGATGTGTTGTATCCAATTGTTCTGAAGTAGTTTATATCATATTCAGTATGTATGCAGTTTTCATACGAATAATGAAAAAAAGAAGATAATACAAAGACGAGTATAAAATAAAACAAAGTCTTACCCGACTTGTTCCAGTACATTTGTCCCTTATGGCCTCCATTGCAGATATCATGGAATTCAGATCAATGGTAACAATACTTTGTGATAGCTAAAACATTTACAAATAAATAAAACAAAACTTGAAAGAGAAAATGAATAAATTCTGAATGTAGTAGCCGAAGTTTTAAATTCCTTTGACATTCTGACAATTAAAAAGGAATACGCCAGATGTTAACATTACATCGTTTCTTGCAAATCAAGTAGACAAATTCATTTGTTTTAAAACATTTAATTAAATTCATATTTACTTTATTACTTAAAGTGCTTTGATATTTAATGATTAAAATGGGGGGAATAATCGTACCGTCTGATTGATAGAAGTAAAATTAATATTGTCAATTCCGGAATTCTTGAAGTCGTTGAGACTTTGTTCCATGTCCGGCGTCAGTACCTTGTACGACGACAGATCAACTGCACTGCTTATTTGGTTGATTTGGGTGTCAATGTCACCCATATACTACAAACGTAAAGATAGATATCCTTATTAAAATTTATAATATTTCTTAATGTCAACAAAACAGTGTGAAAAAATGGCATTGATCATTGCTCAAGATGTACATATACGTAGTTGATTAATTTTATTTTCATAATGTACTTTTTGTACAGTTAGCAAATTAAAGGGTCATTCAATATTTTGCAGATAAATCTTGCTAACACTTAGCATAAAACAATCTGTACTTCTCTAAGTTCTCTTGCATTATAGAGTTTATTTACCTGACTGTAATTAAGGTAGTTGTCGATAGGAATAATTTGGTTCAGCTGCAGAAGCTCAAATGGGGCTTTGTTTAGTCTACAACCACTAAATTAAGAAAAAAACCATTAACATATGAATCTAGATTCTGAATTCTTTTAACTACAAGTACGAGAATTTCAAGATATTTTCTAAAGCAACAGAAAAGTTAAAATTATTATCTTGATAAAGTAGCTAGTTATAAGATTGTCTAAACTCATTCTGATTTTACGTCAACACTTTTGTATATATGTAAAAAAGAATTATCGGATATAAGGTATTTATTATTTAAAAAAAACATGAAATCCGAATACAACAACCTTCACTGTACAACCTTTACTGTACACTTAAGATGATTTTGCAATGACACTTAATGAAAGTAGACACATGCACTGACTAAACCAAGGGGTACAGTTTTTTTTATGCCTCGTTTTTAACGTGCCACGTGACCCCTTATTAGAGGTCTCAAGATGTAGCACCTGAGTGTGAAGATTTTCTCTCACACATACTAGAGCAATCAATACTTACAGAAAGGTCGCGTACAAGCTAATATTAGCGTTAGGATCGTTCAAAAGCATTTGTCCTAAGTTAAAACCTGGAATGCCATTCTGGTCCACAAACTAAAATCAAATGAAAAAAAAATTACTACTTATTCCCCCAAGGCACAATTTGTAGACTACATGTATGTCTTAAATTAATCAGTGGGAAAAACAAATACACGGACCGTGAAAATTATGAACACTCTTGCTTCACGTCAACCCATCCTGATTTTAATTGAAAGTAAAATGCATACCATTTTGTTGTTTCTTAAGTAATATACTTGATTTCTTTTCAAAATGATTTCTATGTGAGACACAATTTCCTTTAAATCTTACATCGCGGAAAATAGACATGTCAAAAAATGTTTGACAGATTTTCTCAAAGTTTCCTCCGATCATGAATGCCACAGTTGTCAGCAACATCAACAAGGCTCCAATGATAAACATAAGGGCAACAGCTCTGAAAGTTAAAATAAAGAATGCTTGTTTTGTCTACATGTAAACAATTTCTTTACTCTTCATTATACAGTATTATCATTTTAAAAAATTAGTTACATGCATATATATCTATTAAATTATGAATTATCGAATTTTAACTTGGTTTGAATGATAACAAATTCTAATTTTCTATAAACAGTGATAAATGGAAAAGGGAAATTTTTAAATCAGCTACAAAAGACAATTATGCAGAGAATGAATACAAATTCCGTTGAAATAATTTTGATTTGGGAATACTTTTACATGTAAGCCAATGGGACTTACAAAATGAGCAAACATCCTCCGCAACTTTCACAACCCCCTCTCTGTGTCGGCTTGACATCCTTTTTCTTGCAACAGCATCCACATAGGATACCAACGATCAGTAACACGGGAATGAAGGAGAAAATCGCCATCAAGCCATAACCGAAGTACTGCCTGTTTCAATTTTGATAAAGAACATTCCTATCTTTTATCCTTAACTTTTGAATGTGATTTTGGTTTCAGGAAACAAAACATTTACACAAACAAATAATGTGATAATGAGATGTGAATATCTTGAAAAAATATCCTTTTATATAATTGACCATTGAAACCTCAAAATAATCATATGTATAATGCTGTATTTATCTAGACAATTGCTCTTTAAAGTGACCAGCTGCAGATTGAAACATTCCAATGAGCAAGAGCCACCTGAGACCTATTTTGACCCTAAGAATCTCTAAAAATTGAAACTACTTGGTTTTAGTACACATCGTTCTTTTGTATTTCTTTTCTAGTTAACAATGCAGAATTTAGAGGCGTTCAAATTTTAGAACGCAGTTCGCTATTCGCAATTCAAAAGTGAACTGCGTTCTAGAACGCTGTGTGGTCTGAAATTTTGTGGGTGGGGTACTAGGGGTCAGTTACCACTTCTGTGAAAAAATGGTGATGGTACCATCTCGAGTTTCTGAGATATGGCCCTCCAGTTTTTAGCCCTACTATATATTACTATACGAATAAACATCGGGCTCAGGGACATCGAAGTCCCCTACCCCGGGATCTCAGATTTTGTGGGTGGGGTACTAGGGGTCAGTTACCACTTTTGTGAAAAAATGGTGATGGTACCATCTCTAGTTTCTGAGATATGGCCCTCCAGTTTTTAGCCCTACTATATATTACTATTCGAATAAACATCGGGCTCGGGGACATCGAAGTCCCCTACCCCGGGATCTCAGATTTTGTGGGTGGGGTACTAGGGGTCAGTTACCACTTCTTTGAAAAAATGGTGATGGTACCATCTCTAGTTTCTGAGATATGGCCCTCCAGTTTTTAGCCCTACTATATATTACTATACGAATAAACATCGGGCTCGGGGACATCGAAGTCCCCTACCCCAGGATCTCAGATTTTGTGGGTGGGGTACTAGGGGTCAGTTACCACTTCTGTGAAAAAATGGTGATGGTACCATCTCTAGTTTCTGAGATATGGCCCTCCAGTTTTTAGCCCTACTATATATTACTATACGAATAAACATCGGGCTCAGGGACATCGAAGTCCCCTACCCCGGGATCTCAGATTTTGTGGGTGGGGTACTAGGGGTCAGTTACCACTTCTGTGAAAAAATGGTGATGGTACCATCTCCAGTTTCTGAGATATGGCCCTCCAGTTTTTAGCCCTACTATATATTACTAAACGAATAAACATCGGGCTCGGGGACATCGAAGTCCCCTACCCCAGGGTCTGAAATTTTGTGGGTGGGGTACTAGGGGTCAGTTACCACTTCTGTGAAAAAATGGTGATGCTACCATCTCTAGTTTCTGAGATATGGCCCTCCAGTTTTTAGCCCTATTATATATTACTATACGAATAAACATCGGGCTCAGGGACATCGAAGTCCCCTACTTTCTCATGAGCTTTTCTGATCACCGTTGTCCGTCGTCTGTCTATCTGTCCTCAAACTTTTCATATATTCAACTTCTTCTGAAGAACCACTGGACCAATTTTAGCCAAATTTGATAGAGAGCAGCCTTGGTTAAAGGAAACATTAAATTATTAAAATAAAGGACCAAGTCCCCTTGCAAGCGGAGATAATCACGAAAAGGCAAGAATAGGGTGCTGGAGACTCTAAAGTGTTCAAATTATAACCCATGGCAGTCGTGCAAGGCCAGAATAGGGAATCAAAATTTGCATTAAATATATGTGAAAATCCTTTAAACTCTTCTCAAGAACGTCATGGCCAGATAAACTGAAACATAGATGCAAGCATCATATGGTAGATTGTCTAAATCATGACCCTTGGTGGTACATGTAGGGGTGGGGTTACAACAAGCAAAAGAAGGGATAAGGAACAGCATGGTTAAAATAACTCAGGTGTGTGATATTTAACTTGTACCCCACCCACAAAATTTCAGACCCCGGGGTAGGGGACTTCAATGTCTCCTAGCCCGATGTTTATTCGTATAGTATTATAATATAGGGCTAAAAACAGCAGTGCCATATCTCGGAAACTAGAAATGGTACCATCACCAGTTTTTCAAAGAAGTGGTATTTGACACCTAGTACCCCACCCTCAAAATTTCAGACCCCAAGATAGGGGACTTCGATGTCCCCGAGCCCGATGTTTATTCGTATAGTACTAGTATTATAATATAGGGCTAAAAAAAGCAGTGCCTTATCTCGGAAACTAGAGACGTTACCATCACCATTTTTTCACAGATGTGGTATCTGACACCTAGTAACCCACTCTCGGAATTTCACACCCCAGGGTAGGGTATTTCGATGTCCCCAAGCCCGATGTTTATTCGTATAGTATTATAATATAGGGCTTAAAACTGCAGTGCCATATCTCGGAAACTGGAGATGGTACCATCACCATTTTTTCATAGAAGTGGTATCTGACCCCTAGTACACTACCCTCAAAATTACAGACCCCAGGGTAGGGGACTTCGATGTCCAGGAGCACGATGTTTATTCGTATAGTATTATAATATAGGGCTAAATATTGCAGTGTCATATCTCGGAAACTAGAGATGCTACCTAACCATTTCTTCATAGAAGTAATATCTGACCCCTAATAATCCACTCTCGAAATTTCAGACCGCAGAGTGGGGGACTTAAATGTCTCCTAGCCCGATTTTTATTAGTATAGTAAATTAATATAGGGCTAAAAACTGCACTCTCGAAATTTATCATCACCATTTTTTCAGAAGTGGGGGACACCTTACCGTAAAAATTTCAGACCCCAGAGTAAGGGACATCCACGTCCCCAAGCCCGATGTTTTTTTCGTATAATATTATAATACGTATATTAAATGAAGGTACCATCACCATTTTTTTTTATAGAAGTGGTATCTGACCCCTAAAACCCTCAAAATTTAAGACAGTGCCATATTGTATTATAATATAGGGCTAAAAACTGCAGTGCCATATCTCGGAAACTACAAATGGTACCATCACCATTTTTTCAAAGAAGTGGTATCTGACACCTAGTACCGTACCCTCAAAATTTCAGACCCCAGAGTAAGGGACATCCACGTTCAAAATTTCAGAACTGAAGTGCCATATCAAACTAGAGATGGTACCATCACCAATTTTTCATAGGGACATCCACGTCCCCAAGCCCGATGTTTTTTTTCGTATAGTGTTATAATATAGGGCTAAAAACTGCAGTGCCATATCTCGGAAACTATAGATGGCACCATCACCATTTTTTCATAGATGTGGTATCTGACACATAGTAACCCAACCTCGGACCTTCAGACCCCAGGGTAGGGGACTTCGATGTCCCCGAGCCCGATGTTTATTCGTATAGTATTATAATATAGGGCTAAAAACTGCAGTACCATATCTCGGAAACTATAGACGTTACCATCACCATTTTTTCATAGATGTGGTATCTGACACCTAGTAACCCACTCTCGGAATTTTACACCCCAGGGTAGTGGATTTCGATTTCCCCGAGCCCGATGTTTATTCGTATAGTATTATAATATAGGGCTAAAAACTGCAGTGCCATATCTCAGAAACTAGAGATGGTACCACCTGACACCTAGTAACCCACCCTCGAAATTTCAGACCCCAAGGTAGGGGACTTCGATGTCCCCAAGCCCGATGTTTATTCGTATAGAATTATAATATAGGGCTAAAAACTGCAGGGCCATATCTGAGAAGCTAGAGGTGGTACCATCACCAATTTTTCATAGAAGTGGTGTCTGACATCTGACCCCTAGTACCCTACCCTAAAAATTTCAGAGCCCGATGTTTATTCGTATAGTATTATAATGTAGGGCTAAAAACTGCAGTACCATATCTCGGAAACTAGAGACGGTACCATCACCATTTTTTCATAGATGTGGTATCTGACACCTTGTAACCCACTCTCGGAATTTCACATCCCAGGGTAGGGGATTTCGATGTCCCCGAGCCCGATGTTTATTCGTATAGTATTATAATATAGGGCTAAAAACTGCAGTGTCATATCTCGGAAACTAGAGATGATACCATCACTATTTTTTCACAGAAGTGGTATCTGACCCCTAGTACCCCACCCTAAAAATTTCAGACCACACAGCTTATGTTTAAATTTTGAATTGCGAACTGCGTTCTAGAACGCAGTTCACTTTTGAATTGCGAATAGCGAACTGCGAACTGCGTTCCAAAATCTGATTGCCGAATTTAGAACTGTTTGAGTGTTTCTTAAAATCATAAAAACAGTTTTAACTTTTGGAACGATGGCTATGCTCATTTTTTGATCTTTTTTGCTGAAGGCAGTCAAATACGCTTGTTTACTGAAAAATTCAATAGCTTCCATTTTCACAAAACCAGTTTTTAATATCCAAAGTCTTAAAGATAAATTTTGTTTTAGGAAATGAGAACACTCCACCTCTACGTTGTTTTGATATATAAAATGAAACACAGAACCTAGCTGTTTAAATCCAATTTTTAGCGTCGTTCAGCATCTTAGAATTTTCTTGAGTATCTTTAGAATAATTCAGTGTAAAATGTTTGCTCTCTACATCTTCGTTTAGTCAATCGGAATAGCATATCTATTATAAAAAAGCAGTTATCTACCTGTATACGTCATATTCCAATGCAGATTTGAAGAAATTCCCCATGGAAGTTTTCAACTCTCGTGTATTGAAAGCCTGAAAGTTTATGTTTTAGATTAATAAAGTCCACTTCCTTCTAAAAACAATAATTTACAGTACATAATGTAACACAGTGATTAAGAATCGCTTACCAATGATTTCAAGCAATTCATTTCTATTTTTAAAGATTTTTTTTTCTATTTCACATTTTACGAATTAAATCTTTTTAAATTTTAAAATTATTGTATTTGTGTTTAGATACAATGTTACAATATGAGTGAAGAATTCTCTTAAAGGACGGGTATCAATCAAACTATATCATCTGTTTACATCATTGACTTGAGCCAGAAAACTATCCACCATGGTGTTTAATGTAGACTTGAAAGTGTCCAAGGTCGATTGAAGTGCTGAAATAAGGAAATTAAGGAAAACGTGGATAGGAATTAGAATACATATCACCATTCTAGATTCATAATTATAATATTTCCGAATAGCAATAATACGTTTTTATTAACTTCAGTTTTATGAGGATTGCAAAATTTTCGACTTACAAGATTGTATTGAGGACGTTTCACTATCTATTGTAACTTGCATATTGTCTAAAGAAGTCTTGGCCTGTTAAGAAATGGATATTGTTATTTCACATCTTGGCAGCCTTAAGCTTGTAAATGACAAAAATTTGGAAACATTTAGCTCAAAAACGTCTTTTAAAATAAAAAAACGACAGATTATTGATAAGTTTAAATTACAAACCTCTAAAGCTACTTTGGTTAAGTTTTTGGCCACAACATCCTTAATGGCGGTTTGGACTGATGATAAATCAGGAAGCTAGACATAGCAATAAATTTAAAAAAAAAAAAAAGATAAAAGTAATTATATTCAAATATCCACTCTTTGTTGTTATTTTTGAGAGAATAGTATGGACTTTTCATGTCATAGATGTCAATTTCTGCCTCCACTGCGCATTACATTATTCATCATGCAAAGAATTTCGAAATTTGCGCATTTTTTTAAAGTGCGCAAACAGAGAACAATTATTGTTCTCTTTTTTTGAAAAAAAATGATTTTTTTAAAAAAAATACTTCCTAAGGATATATCTTAGTTTTTGCCAAATTCCTAATTTCTGAAAAAATGGCAAAGAATGAAGAACTTTTTCTTTCTCTGAATTAATAGGATGGATTTTCTTCTTTGTCTTAAGAAACAAATCTATAGGAATACATGTACCTAATAATTTTGATATTTATTTATTCGAAGACACCAAACATGTCCTCTGACCTTTATAACGACCGTTTTTTTCAAAATATTTATTTATTTATTTACATGTTTATAAGAATTGTACTGACTACTTACCGCGGAGAAATCTGCGTTCATCGTCATCTGTGACGTATCAAATCCGTCGCAGGCAGTGGTTGGGGTGCAGTCGCTAGCACACGATGTTTTTGTGGAATCAATCCCTGACTTTAGAGATGACAGACTGGAAGACAGCGTGTTTGCTGCAGATACCAGGGAATTCTTGTCGGCGATGACCGTATCCAAGTTGTTATCAATCTCATTCAAATCTGTATTATATGGTTTTATTTACTGATGAATATGCATTTAATAGACCGATTTAAGAATTACAGTGGAATCTCATTAATCCGGACGCCTCATATTCATGGCCGACATTGCGGGGAATTACTTTTATACTTGCCATGCAAGTTTGCTCAAGACTTATGAACGTTTCATACTGGTATATTTGGACACTCATTCGTCCGGAATAACGGGGTGCGACTGTATGACGATTCTAAATTATCATAGATCAAGTTTCACAGATATCAAGCGAAACACAAGTTACATTTACAGTTCTGAAGATAAATAGAAAGAAAATCGTTTTTTTAATCCTCCTCTTTTTTTAAACACATAACTTACTTTTGTCAAGCGCTAAAACAGCATTGATAACAGGATCGATGTCAAGCACAGCAAAAATCTTTGAAGTTAAGACAGCTCCCATTCCTGTAAAACCATGCAAATTCCATTTTGTCTTTTTTTTTAATGAATACCCCTTTCACATAGATATACGAGATATTCTCTTAACTGATCTGATATTTCAAAACAGGCAAGAATTTTACTTTATTTTAATACATTCTTTAAAAATATTTTTAATAAGCGAAATTTACCTGAAATGTCCCTTATTATAGCATCTGCCACGATCGTGTACATATCAATGGCAATATATCGAAATTGCTGAAAAATATAATGACTACATGCTAAGAAATAATTACCATCATGCAACTGAACTCTCAACTCACGAGTATACTATATGTAGGTTAATTATCTCTAGCAAGTAGCACAAGCATAAAACCGGTAAATTTAATGACAAAATATTACATTTCACACACTGAACATTTCAAATCAAACATCTACTAGTATCTACGGGCAAAAACCCACATTTCCATAGTATTGCCAGGAGAAAATTAAAATGTCTCCGTAGTATATAATTAAACTTAATTAAACTTTAGTCTATAAGTTAATAGAATTACCGATTGTATGTTTTTGGAGTAAGCATAGATATCATCTAGGTTGTCTGCGATGTTGCCGTCAGCGTAATCCAGGGCCAGAGTGAAACGACTGTTTGTGGCGTAAACGCAGCCAGCGGAGGCTCTGAAGCCAGAAAAAAAATGTACATCGGAAATGCTTACCTCAAAAAACTTGTTTGCTTCGCATTTTTTAAAAAATACTTTAATTAAGTATTGATCCATATAACATTTGGAGAAATATCTCACGTCATCAGAATGGCCAATAAAAACACAGCTTGCGCATATCCCATTCTTTTACAATCTTCGTTGTCATCATATTCCTGAAAAACAATTAATTTATATATCATGCTTGTTTTTAAAATGTATATACGTTTACAACTTGATAAAAACAAAATTTCCTTGTACAGACAAAATTAACATGTGTTCCCGTGAGCGTCAAATCAGCTAACGTTTACAGAATTATTCATCTCTCTTTGGTAAATAATAAAACTGCTTATTAATTCTTACACTCGTATAAAGTGTTTGTTAGAAAAAATATCGTATAATTTCAAAGTTTTGAATATATAATTTGGCTTTGAAATGAGAGTTACCGCTTTCATGTCTCCACCGCAGTTACCACAGCAACGACAACAACAGAAGCAGCAGCCACATAATGGTAAAAATACAACGTACAACAGTCCAATAACCACGCAGATTCCAAAACCCATGGCGTAATTTATCAGCTGAAATAGGCCAATCAAAATTTACGATACAAGCGAAAATATAATTGCGATGCAAGTGGATCTTAACACGATAGGACCTATCAATTTCCCCCTCTAGGTGAGTGCCACGATACGACACTGTGAATAGTGATTGGTATTAAAAAGATGAAAAGGGAGTGGTAGGTGAGTATCTTAAGCTGATCTTCAAGTTTGTTCCAGGTAGGCACTCAATTGCAACAATGTTAAGTTCACATATTTCCTCTAAAAGTAATCTTACCTCCATATACTGTCCACCAATGTCAAATTCACCATTCATGATTTTCTTTATCAGATCTGAAAGATGACAAACTTTTCAATTGTGCTAAATGATAAATATTGGTAAACTTGAAAAAACAATAATTTTATTGGAAATTCTAACATTTGTTTCTTACTTAATCTCCATTTTGGTAAGCTTTGTGAAAAAATTCATTTCAATGATGCTGCTTCATGTACTTTTTCAAATGCAAAAGAACTTTATTGGGTATTTACCAATATTTGCCCCCCAAATCAAACTTTGATGGAGGGATATTTAATTAAGATCTTAAACAGAGGAGTATATGCTGACTTCAAATCACTGAATATTTTCATAAGTAATGACGTCATATGTACGTAATGACGTCACAAACATGACGTAAATTTCAGTTTTTTATTTGTACATATTTCGTCGATATTTTTAGTAAAAGTCACCGAGCGCATGTGTGTTCAGGATCAATATTTTGACGTAATGTGTAGAATGATAATATCAATGAAATATGTAAATATTGTTCCTGAACAAACTTGCGCTCTATAAATTTTAAAGCTTAAATTGTTGAAAATTTCTCCATTTTGTCCTCTTTCTGAAAAAGGATATAAAATCGGACTAGTTTGTGACGTCATAAAAACAAACATTGCGAATAAACTGCTTTGAAACTTTTATATGTTCTGTTAATTTATATTTCTCATACAATTTATTGAATTCAGCACATTTCAGTAAGTTTTCAAAATTTAACTTTTGTGGGGGCAAGTATATGCAATATACCGCATATAGTTCTTTGTTTTGTGTACTCTCAATTTCAGAACGCTTTTTTAACATTTTTTTTACTTTTCAAAAGGAAAATACAAGCATAAGGTACATGTTAGAACTGATAATACATATTTGTATTTAGAATATATTTATACTATATTTCTTTATAGCGATAAAAGACTCCGACTTTGTTTAATTTTTTAAACGACTAACTTTATGATAACATATCATCACCAGTTTTGTTAAAGATTCATGCTCAGTGATACGTACCGAAAGGGAACGGTTTTGATTGGATAGTGTTGATGAAACTCCGGGCAAATGCAAACAAGGCTCCCAGACCTCCATCATTATAACTATTCGTTGTTTTATATTTCGTACCCGCAGGTACGGACGCCCATAATATTGTGCCATTATCGTATGCTTCATTTCCGAAGTAATCCGTTATGGTGGCGGATCCAACAAAAGCAGCGCCTATAACTAACAGCGTCCCCACCACTATAAATACTCGAATCGCCATCTAGGTTGTCATATTGAACTTCTCATGATAAATATGTCAGCCATTTCTTTCTTCTTGTTCTCTGATTTAGGTCTCGATCTTTAATCGCCGATTTATGTGGATCAGATTAGTGAAGTTAAACACCCAAACTGCTTCATCGAGAGTCAAGAAAAAAATAATTTAAAAACTTAATCATGATTACGTTTGATATTTAATAAAGGTATTTAACCTATATAAACATTTAATCTAGGGCACTTCGTGGTTCAGAAATTAAACATGGTGGGCGAAGATCGAAAATCTAGTTTCTTTTTATTGTTTCGATGCGTTATACTTACTCGCTCAAATAATGAAAGTATTTTTTGTTTTAAGAAAAATAAACTTATATCAAAAATACCTCAGCGATGTATTTATTTTTTTCAATTTTCTTTACAATTTTTTATGTACATGGATATGTTTGATTCTTTGAGGAATCAAAATTTGCATGCATGTGCGTACACAACTAACTACTAGTGTATTCATTATTTTATACTTAATATAGAATTAATAATTGCAACATCTTTCGAAAATTTTGATGTAATTTTAATTTTTTAATATCATTAATAATCTTAATATCATTAACTTTAAAATTTTAACTTGCATTATTAATACTTTTATTTTTTAAATAATTTGAGTTTTTAGATACAGGGATACTTGGTGGACCGAGAGACTGATCGACCTTCAGACAGAAGCAGCACAGCAATATGCCGTTCCTTCTTCGAAGGAAGAGGATAAAAAAAAGTACAACACTTTTCGTGCTCAGTTTGGACCGATGGGCGAAGGTAAATCTCATTTGCATTCTATCGTTGGTGTTTGGCAGTAACGGAAATGACGGCGTTTGACCTGATAATAAAATATATTGTTTGGAAATCGTAATTAACATGAATTTTTAGACAGCCCATTCTGAATTAAAGATTAAAGATTTATTATATATGCTTGACCAATCTTGAATTTCTTCTATCAACGTTACGTTTTAAATTGACCTGCTACTTTTGGGAGACTTGAAGCTTACGGAGATAAATACATGTACTGACATTAAATCATCGTCAGGCCCCTCTCCGGTTCGGCCATACACATGTAATCACGCTGGATGCAGCTTGAATTTAAGCATGTTGAGGTATCATATTCGTAATCAATTCAAATATTTGACATCAATTCATAATCAATCCATTTTTTTTTTGTATTATGAAAAAATATTCATAACAAGAAATTATACATAAAACGAAATATAGAAATTAAATCTATTTATTGGCTAAAATTAAATGAACAATTAAGATCAGATAACAGAAAAAGTAACAAATTACATGTAACAACAACAAACTTTCAATAAATTAAATTTTCTATAGTGAAAAAAGTAAATTCTAATTTAATTTACAACAATTTTAAACCCCAACAATTACATGTTGACAAAAATTAAGTGACAATTTGAAATATTAATTTTTTTTCCTTCGTATATTAATGGTTTGGAATACTCGGTCTTTCAAATAATTGAAAGCAAATTCGCCTTGAAGAAGTCCTCAGTAAGTCGGTAGCCCAAGTTGTCAAAAACTAATCCATACATTGCAATAAATGTCAAATGATTACATATTAACTATATATAACTGTATATGATATTTGCACTAATAATCTCATTTTTGACTTCACATTTTAGTTTTTAGCAAAAATTTTCTTTTAAAAGCAGAAATGTTTTTCTATTCAGCAAAAATATTCCTTCGCATGTATTTTCAACATAATACTGTTGTCAAAAAACAAGTTCACATTTAACGTAGTGTTTATATATACTTAAATAACCATGCATGACTAAAGAGCAGTACAACTAAAAACTTGATGTATATATCAATGTAATTTCATGATTAAATGATTGTTGAATAAGATAAAATAAAGATGATTTTAGTTTCATCCAAAACCCTTAAATCCTACGGATGTTTTTTCTCTCGTTTTATTCTGTTCATCATTTTGATTCTTTGTCCAAATGTCATGTTCTAAATTTTGAATTTACCGGGTGGGAGTAAATACAAAATTAGTTGTCATGTTCTAAATTTTGTATTTACTCCCACCCGGTAAATTCAAAATTTAGAACATGACACAAATCAGGCCTCTTTCAGATTGGACACTACAGTGCATACAAAATTATCATCCTCTTTAGTAGAAATAGATGGTGCTTGTTATTAAAAATCAATGGACTTATGGTACTGATAGCCTGGTGGCTCAGGATTTGGTTTGAAGGTCCTGAAAAAAAAGCAAAAAATAAATAGCTACTTTAAAAATAAACAGAATACACAGAACCTACTACAGTAATGAATATAGCTAAGACTATAGACCAAAAATAACTTTGAAACAAAAAGCTGTTTTGCTCAACCATTTATCTAGCTGCAATAATGTAGCCCTCTCCGATTTTTTTTATCTGTTATTTTCTGGAGAGGGCTACAATTCCATCGCATCTCCGTAATGGTGCAAATATATTTTTTAAATACGGGCGATTGAAGGCAAAATAAATTATTTTTACATTCAACTTACTTCTTATAAGACGGAATTTTTATTCACCGTCAACAACATAACCTGCTAAACTCGAAAACCATGTAAACTATATCTGCATGTTTACCAGCAGCAGCCATGACAGTTCACGCGTGACGTACTGAAACTTTCGCTTGAAATTTAGAACAACTTAATAAAGCAAATGTCGATGTTTATAAACGACTGTGCTGAAAATTTTTAATGTATCACAAAAATATCGATAAATAAAACCATTTCAAGTGTTATTTTTACGCAAACAGCGATATGTATGCCTAAAATAAGGGAATTCCTAAAAGATCCGCTCCTATAGATTCTAAATTCCCATTGGCTGTCCCAAAATAAAATCTATCAAGGTCAGTAAACATGGCGGAAAAATTCAAGTTGTGATGTTGACATACACGAAAAAGAAGAGATATATGGGTCGTTGACTCGTTGTGAATATTTTTGGATCGATTTATGTCTTGCATAATTACTTTTTTTAAGTCCAGGTAAGAGATGTCAATGAAATAGCCGTTTACTGATGATTTGAGCCGAAATCCGTGCGGGAGTGATTCACTGCCGCATTGCACCATTACGGAGATCCTAAGGAGTTGTAGCCCTCTCCCCCCCCCCCCTCCCAAAAAAAAAAAAATCGTAGAGGGCTACATAATTGCAGCTACCATTTATCTCATTTCGCAAATCAAATAACCTCCAAGAAAATGTAAATGACATACAACCATACATGTATCTAATGAATTTAAAAAAACTTTGAATGACCGAGCTGCAAATTTAAAATAAGTTCACGCACAGTAGACGTGGGTCATACGCTGTACTAACATAGTGTTGGCTTGATGACGTGAACTGTATGTACATAATTATATAGATTGATTTATAGTGTGGAGAAATATAAGGAATCTGGTTAGTTCCATGCAGCCAGGTCGAAAAATATTTGTGCCAGAGTGCCATGTCAGCAAAATATTTTTATTTGACGACCGCAACATAATTCCTTGGAGGCCACAGAAAAATATATGGCGACCTCCAAAACATTTTGTGGCGGGCTGCCAGAATTATATGGCGGCCGCCAGATAAAAAAACTTTTTTCTTTTTGTAACCAACCGGCGTCCATAGAAATTACACAAGGTTTTATATGCATGTTTTTATCTAAAACTTCAATCACTCACCGTCCATAATCGTCAAAAATATCGTCATCATCGTCGTCGTCATCGCCGTATCCTTCACACTTGTCCATCTTACGGTAATATTTAGACAGCTTAACGGCAACAATGATAACAGGTACAAAGAAAAGGAGGGCCCAGCCGATCCCAAACCAAAATGCGTTCTGAAATATTTACAGTGAATGAGATAATTATCACAGGAAAAATTGTATTACAGTGTATACACGTAATAGTCACACGCCGGAAATTCCTTCCGAAACATCCATTACTGTAGATAAGTGGCATTTAAGTATAAGGATTCAAAATCATTGTTCACGAAAAAAAAGATAAAAAGTTATTTACTGATATTTTGTTTTATAGGCCTTTCAAAATCAACGACCACTACTCCACTCTATCTTAGCTAGTAAACAGAGTGATTACTAATCATGAAGAATGCTTTACTAGGCATACTAGTTAAATCAACTAGGTATTTCTCTCAGTGTTTCCTCTTCGTCCTTTTGACTTTTTGTGCTTTCTTTCCCTGGTGACTAAATGTTTCAAATAAAGCAGACAGAGTAAAATTGAAAAAGTTTAACTTACTAATGCGTCCATTGTGTATTTACAAAACATGGTCGTAAAAGAGTCGTACAGGTTCCATAGGGGTAAACAGGCGGCCAAATCATTGTAAATCTAGGAAAAATGTTATTAAATGAAGTTTAAATTAAAATCAATTTAAAATAAAAATATTGATTCAAATGCAGCTGGAAGACATAATTTATTAATTATTCATTTTTCTCAAGATACTGCTGAAAACCAACCAGATGTCTCGTTCTATTTATGTAGGAATCTATGTATCCCAGTATCTGATCTTTATAGGTTGCAGCCACCTGGAAAGAAATTTAATACATATATAAACAAGATATATTTTCTCTGGGATTATAAAAATCCATAATTTCACGAAGATGTTGTAGCAATCTCAAGATATTGCGATGGGAGCTGGGGGTTTATAGATGTATACTTACCGATGTCAAAACACTCGTAACGTTATTCTGTAGCTGGTCATCGGCATTTCTAGCAGTTGTCATGACATTGTCGATTTTTGTCTAAAAGTCAGTTGCAAGATTCGTATAATTATTCACATATGTTGATACGTAATTAAAGTACATGTATCTGAAAACGTCAGGGACTATTCTCTTAATTAATTGAGGGTTAATTTCACTATGCCAACTATAGAAAGTATTTATAATTGATTCATTAATATTCTTACTGTGACCCCACTTAATGAACCCTCTAAGGATCCTACTGATGTCTGAAGATTCGACTGAAATTAAACGAATA